TGGTTGGCCATTTAATGGGCAATTTACGCTGTCTCGATGAACTTTTATTATTTACACAAGCACGGGCGATCCGAGAATAAGAGACAAACGATTAAGGATCGCGTAAGCGCAAGTTTTCGTGCGCAAATTACTTGTACAGCTGTCCACGTGGATAATGGCCAATTTGGGCAATTTGAGGATCCATTATCAAAGACGTTGGTTCTTAGCGTCGACTAGATGAACAGTTACATTCCACTGAACCCGTGCATGTGCAATACTAGAGTCCATGGAATCTGTTCTCATTTCGCCTAGTGCCAAGAGTACGATTTGTGGTACGCGTTGCGGTTGCACCGGTTACCAACACCATGCACCTTTGCTTCCGGGCGTCTTGAATGATCCTCTTGAACTTGCACCTCCTGACTCTGCAAAAAATCCCTCTCGACTAGATCCTTTTTTTTTTTTTTTACCTTCAAATGCCTGTGGCACAGTTGAAATAATTTTACTAGCGTGAAATGAATGAATTTCAAAGCGTTTGTAGCGATCGATAATCATTAGAAAATATTATATCAGTCTGTTTTAATTTCTACTAATTTTTTTAAATACAAAGTATTATTAATTTTTTTATTCTTATAAACTACAATGACTTTTAACTTGCGAATCCATTAATGTTATCAATTAATTAATCTTCACAGCATGTTATTTCCACTGGATCTGATGGTATTTTTCACAACTTTCATGGTGTAGTACACCATGATTTTTGCGGATATTAATGAAAAGTTCTTAAACAGACATTTCTTCTTTTTTTATTAAGAAGACATATCAATTTTTTCTGTTGTCGTTTTTAGTTGCTTCTCTGTGAGTAAAAGTCACTTTTTTAATAAGTTCATAGATCCTGTTATCAGAAATTTGTGTCATTACAGATGGAAACAGTCATACTTGTAAGGGAACACGATTCAAAAGAAAAACGAAACGGTATAAATAAATTTCTTTCGCGGCTGTTTCTTCTTTTACTTCAACCTGATAATGATCAATTTCCGGTATTCGTAGGTGTTGTGTCATTTTCCGCAAACAAATTGAAACTCGTCGCTCACGATGAAAGACTCCTTATCCAGCGCCATTCACTTCTCCTAGTTATTATTCAATAACTAGGAATCGTGGGCGGTCGAACGCGTAACTAAAGTAGTCGTGTGAGACACGTAGGTTTCGTAGCGTGTATTTCCTTCTTCCTAAACAAAATTGCGTACTAAACGAAGTCTCAGCAGGAAGCGCTTGTTGCGTGAATATCGAAACGGAAACGGATCCCTCCTACGCTCCAAATCTCAACGATCGTCAATGAACATCACTGTGAATAACGCGTGAATCATTTTCGTCGACATTTCGGGCTTCATCGCCGGATGCCGTAGTCTGGTAATTTTTTAATTCGAATATTTGGAAATTTGAATGTTTGGAAGTCTGAATATTTGAAGGTTTGAATATTGAAAAATTCGAGGCTTCGGGGGGATATTTGTCTGATGTTTGAGAATTTGGAGTATTTAGGTGTTCGAATTTCTATTCAACTGTTCAAATTGTGAAATTACCAAACTCTCAAACTTCCAAATTTTCAAATTATGAAATTTCCAAATTTCCTAGATTCATATAGATATTTGGATTTGGATATTAACAGGGAATTTGAGAGTTTAGAAATTGGAAAAATTCAAGCCCTTGAAGAAAAAAGTTTCAAACAACTTGGAAAAAATGAGATTCTAAATCTAAAGACAAGAAGAAGCCAGAAGTCTGAAAAATTCCAACCTGAAAAGATCCGAAAAATCGAGAAACACGAGAATTCAAACATTTATAAACCTCTGAATGAACTCTCGCTCATAACTGTCTCCACTGAAAGGTATATATTCAAACGTAATATTACATTGCTATTTTAATTTAGCAATGTGAAAATTTGAAAATTTAAAGATTTGGATGTTTGCGTACTTGGTAATTTACATCTTGGAAATTTGGATATTCAGAGATTCTAATATTGAAAAATTCTAATGTTGAAATCCTGATATTTGAAAAATAAGATATCTGAATATTAAAATTTGAGAGTTTAAAGATCAAAATACTCGAATCCTCGTTCTCGAAAGCACCAGAGAAATCGAAGAATAAAATTCCAAATCTAAAGTCTAGAAGTCTAAAAATTCTAAAATCAAATTCCAAATCTAAAAAAAAGAAGAAACTCTCAGAACATCCAGACAGTCGAAAAACGCGAGAATGGAATATTCGATTTATAAAACTTCTGAATGAACTCTCGCTAGGTAGGATAGTAAGCGTATCTCTGCCAAGGTGCGCGATTCGATCTCGGGTATACTGAAGCGTAAACGTGCTGCGTGTCCACTTTTTCCGCCCGCTATGGTTTTTCGCGTCGTCGGATCTCCCTCCTTTTGTGCGGTGGTGACACAGGACCCAATCGTATCTCGTGCATCGACGACTGGATATGTAGAACTGGCTTTTGTCCCTCTGGATATGTAGAACTGTTCTCGTCTCTTTCTCTCTCTCTCTCTCTCTCTCTCTCTCTCTCTCTCTCTCTCTCTCCCGTGTTCTCGTGCGATTCACGTACGTACGTACACTTTCACGACGACACGGGTCCGTTCCTCGTGACTGGCGTAGCTCTACGAGAGCAGCAATGTGGACCTCAGGGGCGTATGATACGCGGTGATTTCAACGCGTGGAGCCGCGCAGCTTTCTTTCTCTCTCTCTCTCTCTTTCTCTCTTTCTCTCGCAAGTAAACTGCCTGACCCAGCGGGGCGAGTCGTCTCCTTTTTTGCACGTCCGTGCGGCTATCTGGAGCTAAATGCCGCACGAGATTTGCATAAATGTCGCAAGCAATCCGCTCGGATTTTCTCCAGCGCCTGGCGATTTCAAACTCCAAGCACTTAAACGCGTTCTAATCGTGTTCGTGCACTTACCAAGCTTTCCTCTGGTTTCTAACTAGTTTGTTCAAGGAGCAAAACGTTCGACGATTATAATTCTTTACGTAACGCGCTCGCGTTTCCTTCGGCTGAGATCGCTGTTAAGGCTGTTAAGTCATTTTCATTTATGTGGTATTATAATTAATCTGTAGTTATAATTTTAGTTATGTTTAAATATAACAGATGACCTGTTTGTTGATCATAGAAATATGATAAAATGTAAGTTCTGGGAAGTTTAAAGTAGGCACGGAGCGCTTTTCTTTTTAAAAAAAGGACCAGGGTCGAGCGAGTTGAAAAACCGAGTCGTGAGAATCGTGAGAGTTTATTTGAGTTGTTAATTCGTGTTGATTGAATAAATATTTATCTTGTTTAATTGTTTGTATATTAATTCTATCATCATTACTCCCATGAAATAAACATTATTTATATTGTATCTCTACATTTATACCTCCGAGCACTTTCCAGGAAGACGAGAGCGACGTTATCTCGAAATTGTTGGAGAAACGTGGATTATTTAAGAGAAGAGTGCCTCGGTGAAGGTGTCTCGGGGATTTGTAAGAGGTATATTTTAATTGTCTTGATTGTGAGAGCCGGGCGTGTTTGTTCTTCGCACGTGTTGCTTACGCTCGATAGATAAGGAATCGTGTCGGCGTCCAGCAAGTTTTATGTGGCCTGATAACAGAACTTTCTCCGTTTCTTGGTGCACATACGTAGCTTTTCGAGTTTCGGTGCGTTTGTCGAGAATCCATCCGCAAACGCAGTTGAGGTTCCATTTCCTCACGATGGGAAATTCGTAGATCGACGATGAACCTTTTGTTTCTTACATCCTTTGTTATAACGTTGGATTTCTCATTCGAAGACTTGGCTCGATTCTGTATCCCTCTAATTCAACCTTGTCCGCAGCACCTGCTCCCAATCCCCTTTCCAAACATATTTTCTGGCCCCGGAGGATCCTCCGATCCGCGAATCATTATTGTACTGTAACTGGTATGAAATTCATCACTTATCTTTGGAAGAAGAAATTTTACTATTTTACGCGCGTATTTAATATTAAAACTATCGTACTGAAAATTTCCTTCAGAAACATTAAAATAAGAAAACTTTATAATTATAGTACACTTTGTAATACTTCGTAAATGTGTTTTACGAAAAATCATGTAAATCTTTAAAAAAAAATGCATCGTTCTACGTCTGTCTGAAATTATGAGCTGGTCATTTTACATTTTAATAGTTTCAATGTTGAGAAACTGTAATGTTTGTAAACTGGACTTAAGAGAATAAAGAAAAGAGAATATAAATCTTATACATTAAGGTTATTTAATCTCTTGCGCTGGAATGACGTGCCACACACTTCGAGAACTTTTTGTCCCCAAAATTGCAGTATTCTCTCAGTTTTAAGTATATTTACGTAAAACGAAATAGGCAGAACAAATAATATATTTATCACTTCTCAATAATTTCTATTCAGTGATATCATACCGACGAGTTCAAGAAAAAAAAAAAAAAAAAAAAAAAAAACGACGAATTATTGTATATGGTCACTCGTTATGGTCCGCAATCAGTTGCCAGCGCAAGTGGTTAAGGCTAATAATAGCACACGTCCGGAGATAATAGGGATTACCACTTTTTACGATTTAATTCAAGAATAATTTGCATTTGCCGAGGTTCTTGATAAGTTCAATCCTTTAGGGCTCATAATTCCTCTATATAATAATTTCCAAATCTGTCAAGATTTCTTTCTGTTTCAAAAGACTTCTTTTCCATTCCTAGTCCTTTATTTCGGGAAATTCTCTTTCCTCGAAGCGCTCGTGCACAAAAAGTCTCTTCCAGAAAGCGAGATTCTTATCTTTCGAGAGAAAAAGAGGCCACGGGGAGAGGTGCCCCGGGTGTACAGGCCTGGTTGGGCCGGCGGTCGGGCCAGGTTGGTGAACGTAGGACAGCTAACCAGAGATGACGTCACTGGCTTCTCGGATCTATGTAGGGCCCGCGTCGACGGTAGGGGAAAGAGGAGGGGAGAAACGAGTGGAAGAGAGACGGAACGAAAGGGTGGGGGTTGTTCGCCAGCACGGCGCGAGTCGCTGCCTTCAGGTACGACGAGCGCACGGCCGCCGCGTGCAGGTAGTCTCGTGTTCGTTCTCTGCGATTCAACGCGATTCACCGGGCTTCGACGCCGACGCAACATTTTGCAACGGCAGAAAAACCAGAGGGTTGAATTCTATCAAACGCCGATATCGCGTCCAGGTTTCTTCTGTGTTTTCAGTGAACGCGAAGAAACGAAGTTCGAGCGTGTGCGAAGACTTTTCTGAATACTTGAAATCTTTGCTTCGAGACATCTCGACGAAAGCTGAGACTGATTTTTCTAACGATAGTGGAAGGAACGAGATATCGTTGATGATCGTGTTTAGCGGAGACAGTTAATTGTGCTTGTGATCCTTTAAAAAAAACGAGATCGGTGCACAGTGGAGCGAGGAAACATCACGACCGAGACGTGAAACGTGGAAAGTTTAATCTGGGCTTTCGCGAATAATTTATAGCAAATCGATGCGACCAAGTTTAAAGCTTTCAGACGACACACTCTCCGATTTGGATTCGCAAGTTTCAAGAAAGAACGCGTGAACTAGAAGCTACCTACTATGTGGAATGTTCGCAATTGGCCCCAGTCGTTTTGATTTTCAGACTCACGTCGAGAGAGAACCGTTCTCGTAGCCCCGGAGAAAAGTATAAATTCGAGATTAGGACGTCGAGCAGTGGTTCTCGGGAGTTAACGAATGTCGAGGCGTCATCCTCGATCGAGATGCGCCGCGAGGAATCTGCACGGAACCATGTCGGCGAAGGAACGGAGCACGTGGCACGCTGAAGTGGAACGAACGAGCCGAGGGAGAGACGCAACGAGTCGTTAACGCCCGGAAGAGAGGCTCCCCTTGCCGATTCGTCGGGAATATACATATTCTAAAATATTCGCTTCCTCGTTGCACGGGAACACAATGGGCCGATGATTTTCCATCGTGAAACTCGCGAAAGGGGAGGGAAGAAAATGCAAAAATCATTAAACACCGTATAATCGCGCGTGGAAAGAAAGAAAGAAAGAAAAAAAAAAACCGTTTTATCGAGGCGAATCTGCTCCCGGGGCGAGTGAATCTTCCTCAGCGAATTGTTTATCAGCGAATAAAGTTCCCAGGCGTCGACGACGTTGGCGGAAGAGGTGCTAGAGGATTTATTCAAAGCGCGAAACAGCACCGGCGTAGATCGAACCCGCGGTGACTTCACTTGCCAAACGAGTTTCACGTTTTTAATCGAGTCTACGACTCGTCTGGCAACGGGTTCTCTCTCGGTTGTGCGCCTGCACATCCGGCATGCAACTGCCTGGACACGAATCATCCTGCTTGGGATATTCGCCGATGGTGGCTCATCTGCCGAGGAGGACTACTACTCTCTTTCACAACGCGGCCACCTGTTTCCCGTCCGGTGGCGTTTCTTCTCTGCCTGCCTGCCTTTCCCCTCCAGCCAGCATCGCGTCGTTCGATCGTCGAACGTTGCGTCCTGCAATCTAAAATCGACTGGAATAAATCGACTGCAGTGGAGATTTTAATTTGTAGAATTAGGTGGCGAATTGTGAGAGGTGGCAGAGCGAGAACGATCGACCGGGGTGGGAGTTTAATTAAATCGTCTCGAACTGCGCGCGACCAGCGAATTCATCTGTGTTTGCGGAGCGAGATTAAAACGGGAAGTTGGCAAGGAAGTTAAAATAATTGGTATCGGAAGTTTGGAAAGTCGTGCTCAGTTTGCAAACTAACGCTGGAGGGAATGTCAATTTGCTAAAGAAATCGAAGCGGCAAGGATATTTAAAAGCTGGATGTATTTATTAATCGAAGAATCTGGAACGTCGTTTTTAATTTGTAAAGCGATGCCAGGAAAGCAAAAGTCGAGAATTAAATTGCCCGAGTAATCGCACTGTGACGATTTTAATTTGGAAAGTGAAGCTGAAGTGGACGCAGACGGTCGGAAATTTTCATCAATCTCCGCCCTACGAGTCGATACTGAAATAAAACGTTACCGAAGAAGCTAAGAACTATTCGAGAAAATTACAACTACTTTACTACTTTTGCATGTTTCTCATTTCGTCGCTCTGAGCTGAAAATTAAAAGAAAGATATATATAATCGAGGAAATTACGACGGCGGTGTCAGAGCCAAGGGACACAAAAAAGAGGAAGAGTGTGGCTGCGTGTGGCAAGTGCAACGAGTGGATCGAGCGGGCTAACGAATCGCTGTGTGTAGACACACTGCAAACAGAACTATCTCTCTACGAGTGAGAATTTGTATTTGCTGGAGGCCAGTCCATAGAGACGTCGCTCGTTATCTCGATTTCCAAACGCAATTTCGTGCCGCGTGTTGCGTTTCCATGGTGTGTTGGAGCTTAGTGGACTTTGGAAAAATTTCGTTGAACGTACGTTGAGTTCAAACGAGACAATATTTAGTGAAGGTTAATTGTAATTTGTTCAAGTTTCCTCTCTTTGGAATACTTTCAGAATTTTATCTACGATATACTCGACAGAATCTTGGCGAGAAGAAATTTTGAGACTAGTGCACTTTGAATTAAATCAATCAATCATTAGATTTCTGAACGGACTCGTTGAATTCAAGTTCTGAAACTTGACTTTAAAATGAAACGAGGACGATTACGTATCACTACGTTGAACCAAAGATCGTAGAACAGAATGTCGTTGATTTCGCGGGATTTCCGGAGGAACGTTTGAGTATCGTTCGAGTGTCGTTTAGTGGAGACTCGTGTGCAAGATCGGCACGATTTCGAGTTACGATGAAACGAAGACACTTGTGAGAGCCAGTTTCCGCGGCCGAGAGATAATATCGCGGAAGAAAATGTTGAAGTGGATAAAGGTTCGCCAGGACGCGTCGGCGAACACGCCGACGCCGTTGGATCACGGGAAGAAGGACGAGATGGTGGCAAAAGTCGAAGCTGAAGAAGCGGCCAGAGAGGATGAGGAGGACAGCGGTATGGAGAGGGAGGACACACCGTCCAACATCGAGTTGAACCATCTGCGAAAAGTAATAATTGTATAATCAACGTGTTGAACATTTCCTTGAAAGATTATGAACGTGACTTAAAAAAAAAAAAAAGTAGAACTCAACTCTTGCAATTAGCAGAACATTAGGAGAATTGGAAAAGCAGAGAATTAAAATTACATGAGAATTGGAATTATATCAAACAGAAAATTAGAATAATATTTAGTGGACAATTAGAAGAATAGAATTGTAATTAGAAATATATTTCGCAGGTGTATCTTTTCGTATCATACTCTGTGCAACATTCTGGGAATATCGTCGCGTAATAACGCCCGAGTCTGAATCTGTCTGTGATTTTCCTTTTCTTTTTCTTTCTGCATCTTCTCAAAGAAACTTAATGGACGTGTCTTTTTTTCCGCCCTTTTGAAAGGGACGTTCAAGCCACTGACGTTCTTTAAAACGCATTAAGGCGGGCGAGATAAGAATTAGTGGCTCTGCGCGCGAGAGCATTCCAAGTAATGCACATGGCTCCTCTTTAAAATGTCGTTAGTGTTCGATTTCTCGCGCTCATGACACTCGAGTAGCTCTCTCGTACTCTTAACAATTAGACGTTTTCTAAGTGTAACTTTTAATGTCTGAAGTGTACCTTTTCGTCAGGGTGCAGAATTAATAAGCTAAACAGCTTATTCATAAACTAATAAGTAATATATTATAATAATATATAATATATATAATCGTTTATATATATTATTATATATTATTATAATATATAGTAATATATTATATAATAATATTATTATAATACAGAGTAATATATTATATAATAATATTATTATAATATAGAGTAATATATTATATAATAATATTATTATAATACAGAGTAATATATTATATAATAATATTATTATAATACAGAGTAATATATTATATAATAATATATAATATATATAATCGTTTTATTATATTTATTTATATTTATATAATAAAATTAATTTAGCACTAAAAATAAAACGAGCAGGATCTTCAATTCTTAGAGCTGAGTCGCTTTCATTCACCGATTTCACACGAAATGGTCAATACAGCTTCGACCGAGCTGGTTTTTTTCCGATACTAGGCTATAATCTGCTTTGAACTCTAACATCCTTGTCAATGCGCGTGGACGTTCAGATTATCGTTATCTTTCTCTCGATACACTCATCGAACGACTTTCATTGAAGAATTTCACCTAGCCATTTGCGTTCTCTCGGATTAAGAGCAACCGATCAAGATTTGCTTTCTCAACTAGTTTCCCTTGACGATCTTGGACAGCAATTTTAATTGGAACTCGACTCGCGTGCGGTTTCTATCGCGATCGCGCAGCAGCTGGAAAAATTCCAATTTCATCACCATCAAACTGCAAATTCGTTTGCAGAAGAATTGAGATAATATTTTCAAAAATTATGAAACGTTTCCTTGATCTTCGTGGATCTCTTACAGCGGACCTTTTTGCCGCCGTTAAACATCAATCTTCGTTCGAAACAGAACCTCGATCGATCCTCGTAGAAAATTGCCGACGCTGTGCAGCCATTACACGGTTGCGTAGCGCGGCATGCATTTTCGTTTTTTACCCTTCGTTAACATTTTTCTCGTCGCTGCGTCTCGAAGTGCTGCACGCGTTGAGCAATGAGCCCGAAGCGGTGCGTGCCGCCGACTTTCTACGTGTGACCACCGATCGGTCGAGGACTAGTTGCGAAACTAACTCGTTTGTTGCCGTTTATTCGCGCGTATTTTTCGCACAATCTCCCTGAGAGGAACGCATCTTTGAAAAAGGGACAACGTATTCAGTGAATCATTTAGATTTATTTATATATTCATTTATTTCCAACGTATAGATATATATTATTTATTTGTTTAAAATTATTTTATCGTTCAGGAAATTATTATCTAACTGTACTTGAAGAGATTTACATTTTTGCTACGTATCGATACCAATATTTTACATAGTGTAAAATATATAGTGTAATATTAATATATTACACTATAAAATTATTATATAATGTAATATGTATTATATATATTATATATATTATAATATATTACACTATTATATATATTATAATATAGTGTATTATATATAATATTATATATAATATTATAATATTATATATATAGTGCAAAATATAATAATTACAAGGTTTGACATATGTGATGTAAAATATAGTAATATAATTGTTAGGGAATTTGAAGATTCACGTGATCGTGTAAAATGGCAATTAAAATCAAGTAAAACAAGTTGAATTTAATTTTTAATAAACATCTTTAGTCAGTGAACCGACCTAGCACGTATTTCTTTGCTAGAAAGTTTTAATGAACTTCGTTTTCTCGAAGAAATGAAAAAAAGAGTAATAACTTGATAGCACTACGAATGAAGTAGCAAGTTTATTTACTCGAAGGAGTCCAACTATTTCTTTTGGAATCTTGCTCTAAGCGTACCCATTTGTTGAACGAACGTCCAGTTGTACATATACAGCCACGGCGTGGAAAGAATTAACCAAAATTGGCAATTGATGGCTCCGCCATCAGAGGTTTCGCAGCGTTCCGAACGTTTCGAAATTCTCGTTTCCCTTGCTTACCTCCAGTCGAGGCTAGGATACACGCTGATCAGCGAAAAGAAACGGATCGTTTAGGCGTGCGAGGATTTCGTTCGGGTTGCCGATCCGATTTACATACACTTACATTTGCATACGTTTACGCAACGGGAAATCGAGAGCGCGCGGGCGTTATGAGTTTCCTTTCGGGGCTCGATCCGCGCTGCGCTTAGCTATTGCGCTGCCGCGCTTCCGTCTGACTCTCGATTTCAATTTTTTTTTTTTTCTCCGATTACCACGATTTACTATCGCGAACCGATACATCCGCGGACGCGACCCGATTTAAACAGAGATCCAACGAACGCTCTGCTTTCTTCGACGTCCCCCGCACACTCGCGTTCTTAAATTTCGCGCGCGTGCATAAAATCTGCCAGGCTAGGCTCGTGTTGTGTCTCGCTCGGTGAAACGGTCGTGTTGAAAGTGAGTTATGGCGTTTGCGATTTGTGAATACAAATTTTTCTGGATCGATTATGCTCTCTGTAGAATATTAGAAGGTGAAGTACGAGACCAAAGTCTTCTTTCCATCTATTTTTAGTAAAAATATAAGAAAAAATTAATTTTAATTTAATTTAATTTTTATACTTTAGTCTGCAAGAAAAGAAAATTAAAATATATATATTGAAAGAATTACGGATTTATTTCAGTAGGAAGTGATTTTTGGCCCATTTCTGTATTTCCACCGTGTGATGATGGAATTATTTTCTTATGATTTTGTGAATATTTTGCCTGTAGAATTTTGTAGAAGAAAGTGTAGAGGAATTGCCATTTTTGAGAAAGAATTTTGATAAATACAAGGAAAGAAATTTTTTTATGCAGTTTTGTTGATGACTGATTGATTATTGTCTGTCTGTTTGAGTGGATACGGTTAATTGTGGCGCGAGATCGGATAAAATTTAGGTTACGAGGAAGGAAAGAAGACGAGGACCTGTCGCCAAAATGGTGGCCACTTCAGTATGGAAATCCAGGATTCGAATTCATGAATAATAACAAACGACTCGAGGAAATTGGTCTTTTACGCTACCAGAAAGCGGAAAATTTGACAAGGCTTATCTTATTCATCGATGGTTTAATATTTCTTTTAAAAAACTTTACTTTCGAAGATAAACTGCTTGAAACTTTACATAAATTTAACCTAACTTAAATCCTTGTTGGATAGTAAAAATTAAATTTCAGTTTTTTTTACCACAGTAATATGCCCTTTTCAAAAACTTTAGTTTAAATTATTATTCAAATGAATTAATTATTATAATAATTTTAATTTTTAGAATTATTATAAATTTAAATTTATTAAATTATAAAAATTATTATATATTATTAAATTTATTTTTAATATATATAATTTTTTTTTAATAAATTTAATATTATTTTATTTTATATTTGAATCTAGATTATTAGTAATTTTTTATATAGTTATAAAATGAGGATACGATGAATTTCCATTTGATTCTTCATTTTATTTAATATTTTATGCTATAAATATAAAATATCAATCGAAAACGTCGCTTTGCATAAAAAAAAAAAATTGACGCTTGACTGTTTGTGACGTTGATACGAATTTTATAAATAACGTTGCGCGATGTTGCCTACATTTTCATGACATTTATGCGGTAATTGTTGTCCAATGCCCCGAGGGGCAAAAGTTTCCATGGGACGTTACACAATAATGTCTTCATGGCTCGTGGCCAGTGCATCTTCTTGGTAACGCGATACACGTGTCCTACAAACAGAGATATTTACACAGTCTTCGTGTGACATGTGCAGGCTCTTTGCTACTGTCCGTATCCTATTCTGTTCACCGTGCAACATCATGTCGCCTTAAATGCCCTTATTCATCAGAACGTCTCGTCGTCCAACGTCCGTCTAACCGGGAAACTGAATATCCCGGTTGATGAGCATAACGTATAGGATCATTTTGATCATCACTTGAATAAAAGAAATTGCTCGTCATCGTTTAGAATTATAAAACAAATGCGAATCTTAGCGAATCATACGCGGAATTCAAAATTGAAATATCAGAAAGACATTCAAATGACAGGAAATTTCTTGCCATCGGTTTAAAATTACGAGACGAACGAAAGTATATACCATTACACGCAGATTTCATAGAATCCAACGCAAAAATTTGGTATTTGGTACGCAGAAGAAAATATATTTAATCAAATCGCCGTCGAACGTACTAAATTGAATAGTTTCTCGTTTAAACTAAATAAACCTTCTCTCCTCTATAAATCTTTATTTTGAAAACGACTGACATTAAACGTCGCGTTCGCCACGTTGTCTGTTGCAGGACCTTTTCTCGCAGCTGCAGTTTTCGCAAGAGAGCGCGCTACCGCCCGACACGCTGCGCCGCGCACTGGCCGAGAGCTTTCTCGATCAGCAGAGGTTCCAGCTCGGATTCATGGACGACGCGGCAGAATGTTTCGTAAGTAGCGATTACGCGCGCGATCAGCCAAGCTCACCAGTCGAACGAACGAATAAGAACGAATCTCAAGACGAGTTTCGACGACCAGTTTGACGAAGACACTCTCGTTCTTCTCTAACTGTGAGTCGTTTTCGATGAAAATTACAGTACAGGAACATTGCACGGACAGTCATTTGCTATCTGAAACACCCGAGGCAAAGTTCCATTTATAACCTTTGAAACGGGAGTGAGAAATCCCTGTTTAACCTCTTCAAGCACATACATACGTATACGTTTAGTTTTTTTTTTTTCTTTTTTAATTGTAATTATTTTCACCGATAAAAAAGCGAAGATTTAATGGTGAATTATTACGGAATTGCTCAGTAACCGAGACAAAAATCTTAACGTACGATATTGACGACGTGCAAATAGCGCGACTGTTAAAATTGTTTAGTTCCTTGAAAAATGTCGCTGGGCTTTAAGAAATGTAATATACGATGTATAAAATATATTTGGTTTCAATGGTTTATTTCCAATATTAATTAATTTTATAAGAAATTAATAAACATACATGATGATCGTTTCTAGTGGTATTTCTCTTATCATTGGACATTTCGTTCAACTATGTATTATATACGAAACGTATAATTTGTTATAGTGTTGTGCCAGATTGCGATGAAAAAGAGAAAATAATATTTAACTGAGGTTCAAGCTGAGGTCAAAGATGTAAGTGTCCTAGGTAAATGTCCTACTGTCCATCAATAATTGAAAAGAAATGACCTAGCTCAAAAAATTTTCTACGTGAACAACCAAATCCAAAAGTTGGATTAATAAAGTCGTACCTGAAATCGAACTAGATTTATAAGTCACTGTCTTAAAAATAAAGAACTGAAGAATCCTCAAAAATGTCACGACAAAAATGGAATGTATGAAATCTCTTCATTCGTAAATGACAAATAATGTTCGTTGACTATACATGTGAACGTAACTCTTTCTTTTCTTAGTCGCATGAAATGTTTGTACGGATTATTAGCGATTTGAAACTAAATCTACTATTTATTATTTATTATTTTGTTTTTCTTTTATTTCTTGAATTACTTTCACCATGAAATGATTAAAAATTAAATCACTTTCGTCTAACCTAAATAAAAAAAAAGAAAAGAAATTAAATCGTGCCTGAAGAGGTCAAGATCTATTAAGAACACAGTCTAAATTTGCACAAATCTTCAACGAATCTCGCGATGACGTTTGTTTTTGACTATTCAGAGGAACGATTGGCCACTAATCTCTCGCCGTCAATATCTTCGTTTCGACATTCAGATTCCCGGCGACGTGTGTCGCGATTTCCTTCGATTTTCCAAGCGGTTTGCGATCCCTGAATGTTGTTCCATCGTGCAAACCAGTTCTCCCTCTCCCCTGCATCGCGGATTGCTGTAACGCGTTCATAGGTAAGCCTGAGCAAACACGCAGACTTTCTCTCTCTTTCTCTCTTTGGTGGGTGTTCACTTTCTCGTTTACACCGGAGTCACGTTCAGCCGTTTGTGTGTCGACACGCAGCTCTCCAGCTAGATGAAACGAATGTAACGTGGCGAGTCCTCGAGAGTGTAATAAACGCAAAGGCACACGCGACCAGGCGTGATGTTTCGCTATCTGGGGCACTCTGGCTTTCAGAGAGCACTCGCGGCCGAATGGAATCTGTTTCGCTCAGTCGGTAATTAACTGACTCACAATCAGACACGCTGCTGATTTGCGATCGTTGGCCTTGGAGTATTTTATTCTCTATATCGAATCGAAATATTTGATCCACCGCGAGAAACGACTGCAACTGCGCTTAGTGGACTTGGCTCGTTGCTTAGTATGACGCATATTTCGTCGTGTTACTATCTTTGAATTTTTTGAATTTCTCTGTCTACGAGTTTCAGTTGATTTTTAACGAACGATGTAAAATGAAAAATATTAACGCTGCAGAACGTTCGTGTAATTGTAATAGAAATTTTGTAGATTTTTTTTGAGAATCTAGAACACAACGGTTCCCAACTTTTTTTCCCTTTCCTGTACTCTTCTCGCATAAATCCTCCACACATCTTTCAAACTAACTAGTCTAGACTAAATTAATCAGAAGTCGAAAAGTCAAAACCACTCGGTTTTTTTTTGAATTGTCATAAGGGTACAGTCTTGCTACGTAAATTATAAAATTACGTAAATCGTAAAAATACATACGTTATAAAATTATGTATATTTTCTGGCGAAATATCTTTTCGCTCAAGTCACTTAAATTTCTACAGTTTCAAAGTTACTGAAGATGAAACTCAGCCCGTAAAATCGAAAACTTCGCGCGATAAATCAATAAAAATTTCGCATCAAACTCGAAACAAAACCCTTTACACCCCGAATTATTTTTTTCAATTATTCTTTCCTTTTTTTTGCAATTTAACTGGCAATTTAAAAATGTCGTCTGTGCAAATGGTTAACCCTTTCGCTCCGAAGAACGTTTATATAAGCGTTCAAATAATTTTCAAAATTCATTCACAAAGTTTAGAGACAGAAGAACTCACAATTAGTCGTGTATCGTGTCGATCGTCAACGACACGCTTTGCACGTATCTGTATCGTTTTGAGATGGTCAAACACTTCGCGAAAATCCAGCGTCTGAAAATGGAAAAATTTCTCGCAATTGGCCAAGCCATTTCAAGCAGAAATGATCGTTAAAATGTGTGGATAAATCAAGCGTATAGAAGAACGCGCATCCTGCTTGGTTTGCTCACTGGAATTGCAATTGCAGTCGATTAACAAGGACTCTTCTATTCTCAGCGGCGCGTCATCTTGGATATACACCGGCGATATAAGAGAAAATATGTGCGATTTGTTGCAGGAGAACATTCTTCTGCGTATACATCTTCACATAGCGAGCGGGGAGGCGGAAGACATGTGCAGCGCGAGACACTGCGTGCCGCATCAGAAGTTCGCCATGACGCTGGTCGAGCAAAGCGTTTGCGGAGCGTGCGGCGCGACCTCGGAGCCTCTGCCTTTTACACAGGTCAGTTGATGTTAGGTCGATTTAAAATTGTACCATATATTTTTCTTTTTTTTTTTTTTTGACATTTAATGCATGGCGGAATATTATTTGACCCACCTAATGATGGCATTCAGTGAATTTCATTTGAAACGTTATTTAAATGTTACAAGATTTAATTAAATATAAATTTATTTAAATTCTTTTAGAATTTATTTATTTAAATATTTAAATATTTTATATTTAAATATTTTTTAGAATTTATTTAAATATTTAAATATTTTTTAGAATTTATTTAAATATTTTTTAGAATTTATTTAAATATTTAAATATTTTTTAGAATTTATTTAAATATTTAAATATTTTTAAGAATTTATTTAAATATTATTTTAAGAAATATTTTTTGTTTAATAATGGAAATAAACGTGTCTTTCCTCTTTTTATATTAAAAAAAATTCCGTGCAGGTAGGGTTTCTTTTTTCCTTTAAAATTGCGTGCCTCCAAGGATTAACGAGCGATGGTATTCCCTCAAAGGGAAACGAACCGTGATCGAACGAAGCTAACTTTCGTCGCGACGTTCGTTTGACCATTTTAATTGGGATTTGCGTAATTCAGGGGATATTCGAATTTTCAGTATCTAACAATAAGTCTCGGGCGAGATAACGAAGATCATTTCTCTGTACGATTGTGATCACGTCTCGTCGTTTTATATTCTTACGATCCTTTCGAAATCGTACGTTCAGTTATATTATTTAACAACGTAAAATCTGCATTTTGAAACGCTGCGAATGCCTAGACAATAAAATTTGTGAGAAATCACTGCGAAGTATCAGATAAAGACGCGTGGACGTACAAATTCGCCAGTATGAAATTTGCATTTATTCAGTACGCGAAACTGATAAAAATAAGCCTGATCACAACGACAATAGCTGTCAAATTGCGCAAGTATTAAATTTACAGTTATTAAATACACGAAAAATTGATGAAAAGAAGCTTGATCACAGTGCAACGACACAGTCGAAGAATTACGCAAGTATTAAATTCATAATTATTAAATATATGAAATTGAAGAAGCTCGATCACTATTAAATACTAAATACTACTAAATACTATACTTTCTTCAGTCTTAGTTTTTTTTTACCAAGTCATTAGCCCTGTAATTAATATAATCGTCAAGTAACGGTAATTTTCTGTGTCACCAGCACGCTTCAATTCACGAAACCATCGTCGTCCATTCGTTTTTTAAAAAAACTCCATCTCTACATCTTTATATACATATGTACGTTGTGTACACATAATGTATGCAATGCAGAATCTTTCGATAGCGTGCGGCTCGCGGAAAATACGTTTCTTGCGAAACGTACCATTACGTTTCAAGGATGGTCCAAAGAATAGTTTACTCCTCCCTCTTTCTCTGCAACCGCTCCGCTCGATCCATCTGCCCGCACGATCTCTCCTTGCGACGTTACTTTTCTCACGTAGCCTAACGCAGGTGGACCCGTCGAGAAACGATCTCGAAAGAAACTGATCTCAGGTAGAATTTTCTAACTGGAGGGCTTGGGATAGGTCTGGGTTGCGGCCCGGTGAATGAAAAGAAGGAGAATTCACCTGAATATAAAGACGAAGGATACCTGTGTTCAGGTATCGAAAGCTGAGAAACTCGAGTTCGAACTCGAGGTTTTCTCGTTTCTTGATTTTAGTTGTAGCGTGCGTGATTTTTGGATATTTTCTGTATAATTCTGTTCGAGGATTTTTCAATACTGGAATTCTGAAATTTTTCGAAAATGCAGATGATCGTGCAAGAATGGTGAAAGATCACAATATCGGCATGCACCTTTGCTTTTCAACGAAGTGTTTCTTCCATAGGATTCCAAATTTTATTACGTTTAGATGCTTGCATCGAATTAAGCGCAAAGGCTCGTAAATTCTGAGATAAATGTTATAGAATGGATGAATAAATATTTTACGAAGCCTTTTGTTTACTTAACTCTGAAAGTTTAGAGAACGAAAAATACCTGTGTCGAAAGCTGAGTTCTAGAAAGTTCTAGAACGGGAATTTTTTCATTTCTCTATTTTTATTCATTCATTTTTTTTTTTTTTTTTTTATTTCTGGCGTGCATTCGAATATATACCGCGATTTTTTTATAATCTTTTTGAATTCTGAAATTCTTCAGAAATATATAAAATTACAACAGCGCCGATGAAAGATATCAGCACAGACTCTTTCCAACGAAGTGTTTCTTCTATAAGATTCAAAGTTTTGTTACATGCTTGCACCCAATTGAACACGAAAGCACGCAAATGCCGAAATAAATATTAAATAATAGAATAAATATTGTAGTAAATTATAAAATAAATATTAATAAATAATATATTACTTATTAATTATAATATAATATGTATATTTTATAATATTTTATATATTTATATATATATTTTATAATATTTTATATATTTTTATATATTTTTATATATATATTTTATATTTTATATATTTTTATATATATATTTTATAATATTTTATACATTTTTATATATATATTTTATAATATTTTATATATTTTTATATATTTATATATATATATTATAATATTTTATTAATAAATATATATTATAATATTATTAATAAATAATATATTGGTAAATAAAATATAAAATAACGTATGTAATTGACTCTGAAAGCTTAGAGCTCTCACGTAGGAATTTCCCAATGGTTTGCACGTTCATCACGTTCCCGTGAAAACCATGAGATCGAGGCCGGTCCAGATACTCGAGGCTGACGGACGAGGGTTGGTAAACAAAAAGTTAGCCCCTCTGGCTAGCGGATAAGGGTTTAAGCGATTTAAGCGACTTAGCTAAGAAGCCTAAGCGCGTCAAGATACTGAGCGATCGAGTTGCGTCGTGTAAACGGATTAGCTGATCGGGATTTGATGGCTCATTGGTCACGAACGACCAACAGGAACGGAAGAGGGTGGATTTTGAGGGTGTATGGGTTGGATTGGGCGATGGCGTTTCGTACACTAAACTTGATACATAATTGGCAGAGTGTGTGGCGACTTGGAATTGATAGTGAGCTTGTAAAATGGGGATTCACTGATACAGATTCGTGGAATCAATTCCAATTATTGGATGACTAATATCATCTAATAATTATTTTTGACACTGGAGAGGGATGTTCAATTTTATTTAAATTATTGAATGTCAAAATGGTATTTGAATTGTATTAAAAATAGGAAGTGAAAAAAATTTGATTTAGTTAAAAATAAGAAATGAAGAAATATTGTTCGCGCCAATGGTTTGGCTTGGTTTGATTTATTTCTCGGATTTGAAAGAGTTAGTATTTAATTTCATCTTTCAAAAAAAAAAAAAAAAAAAAAATTGATATAGCAAACCAACTAGGAAATGAAAAGAAATTTCTCTGCATTGTTTTGAAAATTCTTATCTCGCGAGACCATCATTGGACGTTTAATTTCGCAACAGGTGATTTACGCTCCTAGTTTCGACTCTTACAAAAATTCTTACTCTTAAACGAATTAGATTTAATTAAAGGAGAGAATCAAGATTCTGGCCATTAAAGAACGTAATGTCGTGTTCTCCACAGACAACCCGGGATGAAATTTCCTGTTTACCTCGTTATTATTCTCGACTGTTGATCAATAATAGCTCGTTAACCGCGCGCAGTTGCTGCACGAGCACAGCTGTTCCGCTATTAAAACAAATTCGACCAACGTAATTTACGCCAACAACCGGGCTCGACCAACGCGACCAGCTCTTGCTGCAGCAAAGAAAGATTACATCGAACCTATTAGCAGGAAGAAATCGTCTGCCATTCATTTTTTGAGCCATTAAACGAAGATTTCCTCCAACCTCGAGGACTCGATCAGTCCTTTTACAGCTTTCGCTGTGCAAGACGCGCAACATCTTTGAATCGCGGGCTAATTGAACGAAACCGGTTTTTCATGCTAGTCGCTTTACTCTAATATGCATTGATAGACTTGCTCTCCACGCAGTTTCCTTTTCAGTTCCTGACATCGGGACATTTTCTAGTCTGATCGTGTTTTTCTAAGGTTAAAGGACTTGTTATACGCGACGTTTACACATTTCGGGGACCAATTTCACGTGATAAAAAAAGAGAAAAGTGAATTGACAAGGAGAATATCTAATGACAAAGGAAAAGAGGGGATGGAGGAATTATATTCTTGTTTGATCCGTGTTTTACCAGATTTAATCATCGTGAGTGCTGCATGCCCGTGCAACTGTTATCGCGTTTCTCATGAACTGCTCCCTCGTTCGACGAGGTTGATTATTTCCGGCTCGGCGAGGAAAGTGAAACTCTCGATTATTAGCTCTCCACGTTCTTGTCACTCGGGTTTACAATTTACAATTTTCAAGCACCGCGCGTTCGAGCTGAGTAACTCTTATACGAAGTCGTGAAAAATTGTCTGTTACATGTCAGATCGAGGAAATTGTTTCAATCGATCGAGAGCTCTTTCTCTTGCACGATGCGTGAAATATTTTTAATTCATTTACTTTCCTTGAGTGACCAAAAGTTGAGTTAATATGGACAAGAAAGTTTTATATTTGATATTATTATAAATTAGTACAATTATTTCATTTGTTTCACAATTGAGAATTCCTCTTGCTATAATTGTCGATCGTCATTAATAACAAAGAATACCAACTTCTTTAAAAGAAAAAAGTAACGAAAAATACGACTTTAAGAAACGCTTTAAAAATACAAGACCAAGTCGATCGTCGTATGATTTTTCGTTGCGAGGTTATAGCAATTTAAATGATGGTCAATTTTTCATCGTTGTTAGTTCAATTACGCTCTTCAAACTCACACGGCACGTTTGAAATATACCATATGAAACGTACCATAATTCATACAAGGTGAACCTGGGTCTAAGGTTTATAGTTTAGGGTTTTATTCGTCCCGAGTTTAAACGGCCGCATTGATTATGAATTTATTAAACGAGTTAACAAAGAACATGGAGGGAAGAAGCGGGCACGAGAGAAGTTCTTTATCGTGGGAGTGAACATTATATCTCACGGTGTACATGGAAGCGTTAATTAAATTTCTAGTTAGCAACGTGGTATTACTTCGTGGCGAAGTTTCGATAAGGATGCAAGACGAAGAGCGTTAGCCTCGAACAAACGCAATAACGAAAGTCGTGTTTCGTGGCAGTCGCTCTGTTTTCACTGATAAAATTGTACAATTTTCTGAGAATTTCGCACCTTTCGAACCCGCTTTCGTTTTTTTTTCCCCCTTTCATCCGACAAATCTGCGCTCGACTAAATTTTTTTTTTATCCCTCTCCTTTCGCGAGCTCTGTGGCTTTCTGTCGTACGAAAGTCACGCTGTCAGCTTCGCTGTTACGAGATTTTTTTAAGACTAATCTTTTGAAACTTTTTCATCTTTCTGGAGAATATATGCAATTTGCTGAGAACTCGCCAAAGTTGCAATTTGTCTTCTACCTTTTTCGAAACTTACTGTTTTGTTCCATTTTACTGAAATTACTAAATTTTCACACTATTCTTCTTCTTCTTCTATTTTCCTTTAACGTCACATCGACAGCGAGTGCCATTAGATATGTGTGTGGTAGTTTATGTTTTTGAGATATTTTAATACTTTTTGTATGTCATTTTGAGAAGTCAGGTTTATGTTTGCGTTGATTCCGTGTTTCTGTCTTTGGGTTTCTGTGGTGTTGGCATTCTTCTAAGTTTGAATTTAATAGGATTTTCACACTATTAAAGTTACTGAAATTCCACAAATGCGAGTTACGGCGAAAATTAATTCCAAGGAAAATTTCCAAAAGAAACGTAATAAAATAAATTATCGACATTATTATTAAGTAACCCTAGCTTTCTTTCTCTATAATCCTACTTTCTTTCTCTATCGTTGCAAACGAGAAACTGCAGCAGCTGAATCGAGCCAGGGAAGATAAAAAATTAATCAGCGATTGAGATCCGCGCGATATGTATCAAAGCGAATTAACGTGTTTCCTAATCGCCGTGTTCGGGATAGAAAGAAAAAAGTGGACGTTTCCTAATGCAGAGTAGGAACAAAAGCAGCGGCGGTGCTCTTTCGAGCATGATCCAGAGCCGCGGTGCGAGCATAATCGAGCACAGGCCACGAACAGCTCATGTGGGTGGAGTTGGTTCTCCCTTCGTGTCAGCTGCGATTGTAAAAAAAAAAAAAAAAACGTGAAACTCATTGCAATCTGGTATCGGTCATGGCCGATCGCTTTTACCAGCTGGCTGCTCGTGTGCGCTCGATGGAACGGTTGTAGAACACAGAGGACATCATGCGCGCGAAACTTTTGTTTCTCGGAAAATAAGAGAAATTAATTGGATATTAATTGGACCTTTGGTGGATTACTCCAAATGGAATGTTACGGGTGTTATTTCGCGAGAAAACGAAACTTATTTGAAGCAGTTTTCCGTAAGATGGAATATATCTTCATTTGGATATTTCGATTCTTTCTCGTTCTCTGTAAAATACAGATTTTCATAAAATTTAGGTATTGAAACGCTATCTACAGCAGTGACTAATTGAACTCGTATTTTCGTTTCGGTTTCGATCGCATTATTAATCATCAATTTAAATAAAGATTTATTCAAATGACAGTATTACGTTATTAATTCATTAATTAAGCATTAATTATCGGTAATATAGGGTGGTCACATGATAAAACAAAAATATCTTTTACAAACACGTGTTTTTTCAATTTTTTATTATTTCACTTGGAGATAATTAATGGATTTTTTTTTCAGTATTATATGTGAAAAATATATCTTAATATACAATATTCAACTTTTGTATCACTTACACTACTCTCGCTTCCGCTTCTTTCGCGTACGAATCTCGTGTCTATGAATTTGAATTCACGAAAATATTCATTCGCTCATATGTAATACGTTCGAAATCTGTTTGCAGATGGTTCATTACGTGTCAGCGTCAGCGCTGACGTCGCAGGCGCGGCAAACGCCGCCGAATTCTCGAACGAGTCCGGATCTGTTCGGCCAGCTATTGCGGCGAGCCGGAGGCATGGGCGACATCAGGGACTGCCCGGTGAGTAATCTCGATTTTCATCACTAAATCGACTTTCCTCTCGTGCACGCGCAATCATCGCATCGTCTCTCGAACGATTCTTAAGCCCGCAACTTGAGAGAACAGTTCAGAAACAGCGGCGACCCGCGTTTGATTCATCCGCGCCCGACGCAACATCGGGCACGTTCTACTTTGGCCTTTCTTCGAATTAATATCCCGCGGACTTTCTCTTTGAAGTGGAACGATAACTATCGTTCGAGCGCTGCCGGCTATTTGCTTGGCTACGCGGATGCTGCGCCGATTCACCCGCATAGAATCCGAAACGCAATCCGCGAAACTCTGCAGTTGGCAGACGAAATAATCAACGATCACCGTCGTGGATCGTGATTAGTAATCGTAGAACGAACGAAATTTGGGAGTTATGTCGTTTAATTGGCTGTTGAATAACGATGAACTGTGATACCGATGAATTATCACGATAGATCTATACTGCTCACAAAAATTAGGGGATATTTCGAAATGAATATCAAGCGACAAAAAGAAACGAAAAATTTTTTTTTTGTTGAATAAAAACAACTTTCTTTGACTTGTCATTTACATTTCTGATGCTTTTGTCGAATCTCTTGCGCTTGAATGACGCGCCACGCACGTCGCGAATTTTTTGTTTCAAAATTGCTTTCACAGCTTTAAATATAATAATAATACATAAGCAAAATATTTTCTCAGTTTTCTAAGTATATTTAAGCGAAACAAAATAGGCAAAACAAATAATAAATTTATTGCTTGTCAATAATTCCTGTCATACCGACGAGTTCAAAAAAAAAAAAAAGCGACGAATTGTTATATGCGATTTGGTCGCTCGTTACGGTCCGCAATCAGTTGCCAGCGCAAGTGGTTAAGAAAAAAAAAAAAAAAAAAAAATCAAATGCTTCTTTTTTTTTTTTATCGCTTCATATTCATTTCGAAATATCCTCTGATTTTTGTGAACAGTATAGATTCTTTGATGTTTCGATCGCTCGTTTGAATGTGCATTATTTTGCTTTGATGTTGCTTTTCGTTGTTTTTAACTGTACGTTTTATTTTTCGTTCGTAGAGCTCGTGCGGCGCGAAAATCCAAATCTGCCGGACCCTGATGAACCGACCGGAAATCGTTTCCGTCGGTGTCGTGTGGGACAGCGAACGGCCATCGTTGGAGCATATCATGGACGTTTTCGCAACCGTGGGAACGTCCCTCAGATTGAGCGATGTTTTCCACAGCGTGGTGGACTCCCGATGGGGTGCCTCGACCGTGCACAATCTCGTCGGAGTAGTCACGTATTATGGAAAACACTACTCCACTTTCTTTTTCCACACTAAACTGAAGGTTAGCGTGCTGTACGTTACGTTGCACGTTTCACGCGATTCCAGTGGATTTTCGCTAGATTCGATTTTGCCAAAATGTTTAGAAGCTGTCGCAAATTTTAAATGTCGGAAGAAAATTTCATTCGGCTGTAGGATTTGATTTTCTCACTGTGAAAATCAACAACGACAAATCTTCCCTTCTCTTTGAATTGAAATTTTTAACGCGCCACTTTGAATTTCATTCAACTCATTTACATCAGATTGTTGTCATGAGAATGCTTGCACCATTATCACGTCATTTTATCCATAAATCACATGTAATATCGTCAATTTTCATACTGAGGCACAAATAAATTAAATCGTTGAAATCACTCAATGAAACAAGTGATTTAAGAACTTATATATAAACAATTTATTTATCAAATAAAATTAATTCCGTAGATAAAAACATTTCCTTTAAAATTGGATTAAATCGTCGTAATATTTTATCCATAAATCACATACAAATAATATTAATTCCCACACTGGGGCTACAGATAAATTAAATGGTTTCCTAAAAATTTAATTAAATCGCTTACTTAATTAAGTATATTAAACTAGTTGTTTAGCAAATCGATGAAATCAATCTCGCAGAGTAAATCATTCTTTCCTTTTTTTTTTTTTTTTGAAACTGCGTTATTTCGTCTCAGGTGTGGATTTACTTCGACGACGCGACTGTGAAGGAAATCGGGCCGCGTTGGGAGCAGGTGGTGGAGAAGTGCAGAAGAGGCAGATATCAGCCGTTACTTCTGCTCTACGCAACTCCTGGCGGAACGCCGGTGAACACGGAAAACGCGCCGAAAACCGTGACGCCTTTCCCGAATGGAAATGGACTGAAAACACCGCCGAAGAACAACGTTCGGCGATCGATCACGCCCAGCCCGGAGAAACCATTGATCAATAGTACTGCCAGACGTGCCATCACACCGAATCCCGACAGTCCCCCTCACCCTTACACGCAACGCAGAATCTACAGTGACTATCAGAATCTGACGGATATTCAGAACAACATCTTTGGAAATCAGGCAAGTTTCTTCGTACGTCAGCGATCTGTTTGTCAGGTTACCGTAATTCAATGGGAAGGAACTTTGTTAAAGTTTGTTTTTTACAATTTTCTATTTTATTTTATTTTTTTATCCGACGAACCTAAATTTTCTGTTTGAAGGGCGTTGACACCGTCGACGGTGAAGCGGAGTCGAAGTACATCAGCCGACGCGCGGTGGAGAACGTGATGCAGCAACAGAAGAAGCAGCAAATGCAACTGACGCGCAGCCTGAGCGCTGGCTCGACGCCGCAGGACGCCATCAGTATCCCTGATCACTTGAACGTACCGCGGAGACGTGATTCCGGGAACTGGTCCGGCGATCGGAACAGCGCGTCCTCGAGTTCCTCCACAACGATGGACAATCCGTACTTGTACATCGTGAACAAGATGCAGAGGAACTCGGGCGTGCCGAAGAGCCCGACCAGCAAGTCTGGCGAACTTTCTAGCAGCAGCAGCGGCCATTACGACGCCGGATACGACTCGTATTCTTTGTCCTCCACGGACAGCCTTCCGCTGCAGCAAGGGCTGAAGCATAATCTACAGGTGCGTGTTATTTTAAACTACGCTGAAAGGTGGTACGACTCTTTAATATTAAGAATGAGATGACTCTTCCGTTTTCTGGAAAAGTGATTTCTCAACGTTAGAGAATACGTCAGGCACTCGTGTATCGAACACGAAACGATTGTTATCCTGTTGTTAGATCAAAACATTATATATATGTCTGCATATGACCTAATATATATAATACAGACTATCAGACACATCTACGCGAAGTATTAAAATATTCTCAATCCTTCTTCGTTGGTTGTGTCAAGTGCAACCTTGAAATTCTTTTCACAAAATTGCAATACTATTAACGAAAGAGACGGTAGAGTTAAATCGATTTACTTAACATAGCTTGCCCAGATCCCGGAAGGCTACCAAGCTTCCTCAGGCGACGACTGTGAACGCCTGTGCAAGGAGACCGACGCTCTTTTGGACAAATCCCGAGCTGCCGAGGATGCGGGCGACCTCAGCACCGCGGTCGCTTTGTGCAGCGCCGCGAGCAGCAAAGCCAGAGCCGCCATGGACGCACCGTATAACAACCCTCACACCATCAGAACAGCCAGGATGAAGCACAATACTTGCGTGATGAGGACCAGGAGTTTGCACAGAAGAATGTTGCAGGAACAGGCGACAGTTAACGGTGAAAAAGAAGGTGAATTGTTAAAAGAATTACATATATTATTTCAAAATTATTCTTCGAGAGCATGAATACAAGTAAAATACTAAATTTAGAATGAAAGGCTGAAGAAGATTATGATAATTATAATTAAACTTTTCAATTTTAATCCTGTCTGTACGTCATTTTCGTTCTGCTTCTGTCGAAAGTAAATTTTGCACATGCAAAAGTCTGCAGGATTAATAGATCGATTTATAATATTAATATACAAATGTACGTTTGCGTTTCAGAAGGTGCGCCGGAAGGAAGACACTCGCGAGAGAACAGCAAATCCAGCCAGCACTCTCGACAAAGTTCCAGAGACAAGGGGAACCATTCCCGACAAAATAGCCGTGAACTTTTAGTGAATCCCCCGTCCGCAACTACCGACAAGCCGGCCACCAAGAGCATCGAGATCTACGCCACGTTGCCAAAAAAGAAGACCCTGCGCAGCAAGGCGACCGCCGTGAACGTAATCGAGGACGAGGAGTACATGCTGTACGATCGACCGATACAGAGGACGGGTCTGTTCAGTCGTACGAAACGTTGCGACGACGACAAGAAGGACAAGAAACGAGCTCGAAGCGAGGAGAGGAACAAGAACGTCTCCAAAGACTTCTCCGTCGCCCCCTCTCGATCGTCTATTGCGCCGAAAGGCGCCAAAATGGAGAAATCGAAGGAGACCGACACGATCGCTAATAACGCGCGTAACGTCCAATCGAACAGCACGTCGAACGGCGAGCAGAAACAAGGCAAGAAACAGCACAAAATTCGAAGGAAGCTGTTGATGGGTGGGTTGATCAAGAGGAAGAACAGGAGCATGCCGGATCTGCGAGAAGGCCAGGACGGACAGACGAACGTGAGCGTGGAGGGGACCTCGAACGCTTTACCGAAGCAGTCGGTGGACGATTCCAGCGTTGGTTTGAAGGGCAACGAGGTGTGCCAGTCTCTGAGTGGTTATCTGTCCGAGGGACATCTAGAGTTTACTGGGAACAGTAACGGCAGCTCGGGCAGCAGCACCAGCAATCCAAACTTGGAGAGAAGTCGCCTGATGAGGAAGAGCTTCCACGGCAGTGCCGGCAAAGTGTTACACGTGGCGAAGGTCCCTCCGCCACCTCCGCTCAGGACCACTTCTCAGCTTAGCAAGTCTAAGTGTTCGGGCGAAGTGCACAACGAGCAACAGCCGGAGAAATCGGTCTACTCAACGTCAGAGAGTCAGTGTTCGTCGAATCCGTCTCAGGACCAGAACGGGACGTACTGGAATCACGTGAACGCGGCAAACTCGACCGGCGGTGCTAATCGAACATCCAGCTACACCGATTACTCGTCCGAGTCTCACTCACTCCCCTTTCTGCCTTCTTACGGCATCGAGCAAAACGGCGGGAACGTGGCAACGTCTTGTCCGTCGAACTACAACAGCAAACCTAGAATTCAGGACGACGTGGTGCAGTATGCGAACGGGATCCTGTACGAGCCCACGTTCGTGGTTACCAGGGCGGACGTGCACAACGAACAGAGCCCCGTGAAACAGCCGAATCAGCTAGACTCTTTGCCTCCGTATCCCGAAAACGGCAATGTCTCCCATTCGAGGCAACCCAGCGAGGATTTCCCTCCTCCGCCGTATCCTTCCATTCATTCTGTGTCTCACTCGAGACAAGCCAGCGAGGACTTTCCACCGCCTCCGCCACCCATTGACGAAAGTTCCAATCACATTCAGGATCAGCAACAGTATCAGCAGCAACAGTACCAGCATCAGTACCAGCAACAACAACAGTACCAGCAGTATCAGCAGCAGCAGCAGCAGCAACAACAAGCTGTGTCTATGCAACAGCGTCAGCAGCAGCTGGACAATCAACATATTGGCGGCTTACTCTCCCAGTTGCAAATGAAGCGAGATCAGATCCTAACCTGTGAGGCTCCGAGAGACGAGAAGAAATCCGAGGAACAGGAGGACGAAGAGAAATCGTCCGGAGAGACTTGGCTGCGCGAACTGCAGGCCAAACAGGCGGAGAGGAGGATGAAGAAGCAGGGTTCTCTCGAGCAGGATGTCTCGAAGGTTAGATCGTCCGGTCCTACGATCTCTGGGCCGACGATCGCTAGGAGAACGAGCGATTTGATGATGAACAGCCTCGGTCAAAGCTACGATCAGTCCAGTCGCGACGTGACCGATTGTCCGAGAGTGGTGTCCTCCGTCAAAGACATGGCCGCTAGATTCGAGCAGATCAAGCTGCAACCGGCCGCGAAATCTGAGCCTGATCAGAAGATTCCGACGAAGCAGAACGGCGTTTCTCCTTCTCCGTTGCTGGACGCCTCGCAGCACGCGGACAACGTTCAACACGCGGAGGAGCCGAGGCCAATGAAACTTTCCGCGGAGAATTTGACTAGCTTTGCGAAAACCGAGAGCTCGTCGAATCAGTCGTTGATGAATTCGAGCTTCGAATCTAGCTCCAGTCAGAACAGCTTCATTTCAACCACACCAGCTCCGAGCAACGCCACGCAAACGCAGCAGAATGGATTGAATCAGGCGATCATGTCGATGTCTCTGACGCTGCCGCACGAGAACGGTCTGCCAATCGATTATCCCGAGGACGATATCAGCGAGGTGGCCATGCAGAATACCATACAGAACACGACGATCCTGCCGAGCGAGGACGACATCTCGCCGAGGAAAGTGAAACGACGAATAGGGAAGAAGAAGAGCGTGTCGTTCTGCGACCAAGTGGTTCTCGTTGCGACGGCGGAGGACGACGAGAAAGACTCTTATATACCGAACCCGATCCTCGAGAGGGTCCTCCGTTCGGCGATGAACAAACCGGAGACTGCCCAAGTCCTTCGAGAGATTCGAAGTCTTCAAGAGGCGGAGATGAACAGAGAGAATTGCACCGCAACGAAATTCCAACAGCAGACTCTGCCGTTGAAAAGCGAGGCCGACAGCGTACCCGCGACTCCCTATCAAGATCAGTTGAGAAGCGTGAATCCTATACCGATACCAGACACGATCAAGCCTACTTTCGCGAGACAAAATTCCAACGAGTCGGTGGGATCGTTGTCGGACAAGAAACTGTGCGGTTCTTACGGCAACGAGGGGCAGGACGTTGTCAGGGACACCTACACGGGGCTTCCCAACGTGTCTAAACCGCCCACGTCGTACTCTCCTCAGCTGCAGCAGCAGATAAGGTATTCCCAAAATGGTTACATGCCGTATCTGCAGTCTCAGTCAACGTATCCTCAAGCGCAGACATCTCATCCGAGGAATCAGAGCATTCCCCTGTCTCAGACGCAGAAACCAGCCAGCCCTTACCCCACTCAGATTCAATACGTGCAGAACAACGTGCAGCAACAGAAGGCAATGTGCCAGAAGAGCTCCTATCAGACCTACTACCAATTGGAGCAACAGCACAATCAGATGAACAAGCAAATGTCTCAGCAGCAACAGCCCAGCAACATGAACCAGAGGATCGCGAGCCACAATGCAAGCCCGATAACCGTTCAACACTCTCAGCAACAGTTCGCCTATCCACCGACTCAGTCGCCCAGCCCTTATCAGAACCAGTACAGCCACAGTTCCTACCAGGGTTACCCCCAGTATCAATCCGTTTCTCAACAGAACAGAATGAACCAACCACTTCCACAGTATCAGCCGCCGCCGAATCCGCCGTCCTCCTATCCGCAACAGCAGAGCATGCAGAATTACCAACAGAGGCACGATAATTATCAGAGGCCAGCTCAGAAGCCGGACCAGCAAAACATTCTGGCGCCGAATCAGACGTACCCGAACGCGTTGCAAAACGGGCAGATACAGTCGAATATGAAGTATCCGACGTATCAACACCCACCGGTGTCGAAACAGAGCAAACAGATGCATTTCGTGCCGATGTCGAAGGGCAACGCGGCGGTAGTAACGCAATCCGCGTCCTCGTTGCAGAAGCCTGCGGTCGGTGGCAGTGCGAGAACCGCGCCGTGTCATCTCTGCCGGAAGAAACAGGTGACCGAACCCGCCATTTACTGTTCGGACTGCGACTTTTACATGTCTCGCTTCCGGCCAAAGAACTGAGGGGGACTTTGTAACCTCCGTGTTGACGCACGACGGACGAAAAATTGTTGTTGAAAAGACGAGTCGATTTTTTGTTGAGATGATCCTTTCGTTCTAGGTGACGTATAGATGAAGTTTAAGTTAGTAACGTGTAGGATAGTGCTGTCTAAACTAAGATTCTTTTTTTTTTTTTTTTTTTTTTTTTTTTTGGTTTGTTTTTGTATGTTAATTATGCATAGAAAGAGAGAAAGAGAAAAATTTGCCCGAGTGTTCGAAGATTCGAGAGTAACATTTCTCTTCTACGAGAGCAAGTATTAGATTTGTATTAGATTGTTAAATATCGTTGTAGGAAATCCGGAATTTTTCTTCTTTCGATAGCAGCTGATTAGTGAGAATCTTGAAATCTCGAAGGCTTCAAGTTTCGAAGTATTGGAACCTCGAGTTCTTAAAGCTTCGAAATCTTCTAGTCTCGAGGATTTAAAGTCTGTAAAAATTTGCAACGAACACGGACTGGGACCGCGAGTCAAATCAACATACGTGTTTTTTACGAACTCTCGATTTTACGATTAACTCGAAATCAGCCGCAAAATTTTCTGGCCCCACTAGCCGGATGCCATCGAAAGATCAAAACCTCAGACGTGCGTTGAAACGGAGTTGAAACTTCGTCTTCGATACGCGTATACGAAATTCTGTTGACTCTAGGCAAACTTATGATTGATTTTGCAAAGGGTGATATCGCGCCACCCTCCACCCCACTTTTGTACAAAGTTAAATTAGTTGTAGATTTGTATAATCGAAGACCTTCGTCGTGCAGCTATCAACTATAGACACATACTCGTTGTACCTATTGATTGTGTACTTAGCGACATTTGTAATTTATAGCGGATCATATTATATAGAAAGAAAGATGTAGTTTCGCGTAAGTCAATCGTAACTTCTTACGTAACATCGTTTCGTGCTTCGTACGTTAGTCTAACCTAGCAAATATAGTTCCCTTATAATCCTTGTATGATTTGTACCGTTTACGATTCTGTTGTACATAGAGATTATTTCTGTGTAGCGTTTATCTTCTGTGTAAAAAAAAAAAAAAAAAAAAAAAAAAAGAAGGAAAGAAAGAAAGAAACGAGCAAACATCGTGTATCGACGTTAACCCTCTTTCGAGGATTAGAGCGTTTCTGTTTCACTCGCACGCATACGTATCAAAAAGACGCGGTCGTAATTTCTGTTCGGCGAGAAGTCTACACTTTGTCGGAATTGTGATACTAGCCATGCTCTACGTTAGGGTCTTATCGTTAAAAGTTTAGGAATCGTGCCGCGATGAAACGATACGGGTAGTCGCACAAAAATCGAGGTGAAATAGAGAAAGCGCGAAGGCAACATGATCTCTGAGTTGAAAGCGTGAAAATTTATATTTTATGTTGATAGGCGTTGACGTTATATATATATATATATATATATATATATATATATATGTAATTGTCGTGTACTTAACGATTCCGTTTTATTGTAACGATCGTCTATATGTATTAGATCGATGTACAAATCCAAGCCCCCAGTTTTATACATTTTGTATGAGTATTTTGTTTTAAAAATACTTGATTTCCTCTCGTATGTGACATTGAATAATAAAGCGCCGTCGAAATATTTCAAACACGTGTTCCTCACCGATTCATTTCACCGATATTACTCGATATCTATGCGTTAAAAGTTCAGGGAACTTTGAGAGGTTCGACGAATTCTTATATTTGGTATATTTTATCGCGTTAGCAATTATTCTTTGAACTAACGCTATCGGCGATCAAATTTAATTAGAGTCGACTAAATATGTTAATCAAAGTCTTGAATATCGGCTGATAATTTCCACTCGCAAATGTCAGTAGTTTTTTTTCTTGAATAAAGTAGAACTTGGTAAAGAATAGAAAATTAGAAAATTAATTAAAAGAGGAAAACAAGAACGATTATTTAAAAATAATATTTTTAATTTCTCCTGGATCTTTGTTAAATTCCTGCAACACTAATTGTTCTTAAAATTATTTTCTTCGCGAACTGAGGTTTTTAAACGTAAAGACATGACAAATCCTTTCAAATTAAATTAGAGATAACAAGTCATTCACTTTGTTGCTTACAGATCGTAGAAATGTTTTGTTGAAAATTAGTAAATTAGTGAACTAGCGAATTACTCTATTTCTGTCCGTGCTTCGTTCGAAGGTATTAACAATTAATTCCACAACGTACACTTGTGACGTCGATTCATGGAACTGTTCCGCGGGCATTTGAAGGTTTTCGAGAACGCGGCCAAATTGGAGAGGGAACCTATGATGCGATATTTCGCAGGACTGTGCTCGTCGCTGTTGACCATGTCCGCCTCGTATTCCGGTCTCGTCGAGGAACACCAGGACTATAAAATGGAATCGTGTTAATTAACCGTGAAACATTTGTATGATGTTTGTTGGGAGATCGAATTAACACCCGATAACGGAGATAACAGGATAAAAAATAATGATCTCCAGTTGATTTAGGTTGAGACTTGGCTGTTAACCAAATATTCCTATGAAAAAGTGAAATTTTTCCACGTCCGGCATCCCGACGAATTCTACGAGATTGCTACAGTAAATATGCGCTGAAAAAAATTTTCCACACTTTGCCGAGAAATTCCTTTATCAAAGGATTCTGACACGTGTATCTATACACTCTTCAAATTATTAAATAAGTTATTGAATCGTCAAATATTCAAGTAAAATATTATCGAAGTGAAATTTTCCATATTAGGAATTATTCAAAAATAATAATCAGTATTGTTACATTGTTGTAAAAATTGGTATTGTTACAACGAGAATATAGTAGATGTTTCGATAAATATTTTACAATCGAACGAAATTGGGGTAACTTTAAAATGACTGTATTTAAAATAGGCACGTAAAGTGACTTACGTTTGCGAAAGATAAGAAAAAGAGTTCGTCGTTGGACATATGTTCCAGGCCTGGTAGTTTATTTTGAATCTTCTGTTTCGCTGCTTTCTTGTACGCAGAATACGCAATTTGTATGCCGATTGAATCCGCTATGTTTTCATCCTCGGTTAGATATCCATCCAGCTAAATTACATTTTATTAATATTATGCATCGTTCTACGAAAACGAGACTAACGAAGTAATTAGAGTATCTTTTGTATTCTTTTCAGGCTGCTTGCCTCTCATCTTCGTTCGAAAACTCTTAGAAATTATTAATAAAAGAATTCACCTTAACGTGGTCTCCATCCTCGTTCGTGATATCGAGAGTATAATTGGCATACTGATCGACAAAGCACATGGATCGTTCCTCGTATTGTGACGCGTACTCGGATGTCCACGGGATTTTGTAGCCCTCTTTGTCGAACTGTATTCCTAAATAGCACGAACGACACGTGACAAATGTCGATGAGTATACATGATTGAATTACATCATTTAGATAATTTACCTTCGTTGTCGAAACCGTGGGACAATTCGTGTCCAATTACAAATCCAGTGGTTCCGTAATTAATAGCGCTGATGACAGACTTTTTGTTAATAATTCAACTTCAGTATAATTTGAACGCGCGTAAATGATGAGTGATTTAAATTTTCAATTCTAGACGATTTGGAGAGAACTTACTCTGGCAAATGTGAAGAGAAATAAGGATCCTGCAGTTCAGCCGCTGGTATGACTGAAACACGGACATTTTTTTTTTTTAAAGAAAATGTTTGTTTCTCCAGAATTTAGTCGATTCGAGAAACAGGTGTTTTGTTTTCACAGTACTCACGTATTGCGTTGACCGTCTGAGCGTAGAATGCGTTAACTGTCGTGGGGAAATCCAACCATCTGTAAAAACAATCGAAAATGAACAACGAGATACGAGCGATTTGAATTTTTCCAATTTCGATCGAAATTTCATGGAAGAAACTCACTGATCTCTTACAACGACCTCTCGGAACTCCTGCAGGCTTTTAATTAATTCGTTCTCTTCGGTGTTTAGAACATTTTGGAAGTAGTTCGAACCTATTTGAAGCTGCGAACAATATATCTGATGTCATTGCGCGTCTGTGAAACTTTCAAAAATTTGTTAAATGTTGTTTAGAGCAAATACCCCATCGTAATATCGGTTGACAGCCTCGTTATCCCTGTACCAATCTGGGTAACCAATTTGCGTCTCAAGATTGTCCAGCTTCTGCATCAGTTTCACTCTCATACTGTTCGAAAGCCAATGAGCCTGTCCAATGCGGATTTTCAACTCGTCCTTTATTTTCTTCACCATTCTCGTCGCCTTGGAGGAAATACAGTAAAACAAAGATTTTGGTGACGTTTCATTATTCACGACGTTTTTCAGAGTTCAGAAAATGTTACCTCGTGGATCACGTGATCCGAGATGTATTTCTTGACGAACATGTAGGCAATCGCGTTCTTCATTCTCAGATTGAGCACACAAACTTTCCACCTGGAGATCAATGTAATATTCCCTCACGATTTTCTACTACGCAGTTTTCAAATTATCATTTTTATTCTACTTTCCGTAGAACTTCGAAAATTTGGGAATGATATTTTCATTAAAAAAAAATTTTTTAAGCAAAAGAACAAGGAATTGTCAAGTTTTTACAAAGCATATCCTTAAGTTTTTACGTATTTCACAGAATTATTTTAATTTTCTCACTTAATATTCGACTGGTTGCTTGGAAGAATTCGAATATCCAAGCGGTAGATTTCTTTGTTCGAACAATCACAACGTCCACTGTCCTAAAGTACCAGAGGTTTCAAATTTCCAAGAAACATTCAAAGAAACGAAAATCTTTGTAATCGACATTTTTGTATCTATCAAATCAAATTTCCAGGAGTTCGAAACTTCGAGCTCATTCTCGAAGATCGAAAGCTTATCAACCGTGATCTTTCGCAGGATATAATGTCGTAAGAAGGAAAAATAACCAATTGATTGAAAAATAACAAAAAGAGATTGTTATACCGTGGTGTATAATTGGACACGTTGTACGACGAGAATGATATATTGAACTTGATGTCCCTCATCTTTTGAGTAGTATACGGCAGGAATTTGTCCACCATGTTCCATTGCACGTAGTTCACTGCAAACAGAGGAAACAATCAACGTGAAAAAGTGACATTTCGAAAGGCTACATGACCGCAGAAAATGTTCAGTTGTCGAGCAATCGCGTTGCAATTAGAAGATCACTAATAAATTGCTACGTGCTCGTGCAGAGTTCTCGTAACCACGGTATTACCCAGCACACGTCGAGATGTGCTTGCAAGTAGCCTGGCCAGCTTGTGTAGGAATTCCGGATTGTAGACTACAACAGGTTCGGAGGAGTTTATGCGAACGTTCGCCAGGTTGAATGCGTGTTGTATCACTTCCAGGAAGTCTATCTGCAAATGTTTCTTGTTGTTAAATTCTGTATTATGATGGCAGATTTTTAATCGTCCGATAAGTCGACGCGTCGAGTACAGAATTTGGATTGAAGAATCGATTACTGGTATCACGGAAATGAGCGACAATTACATTTAAAGTAAAGTGTATATTGTAATTGTGTTGTTACGTGAGGAAATATATGTCAATGGAGCAGTGGCGATTTAGAAAATGACGCTTGATTGCAATATTAAACAGAGCAGAATGGATTAGGAGGTGAAGGCCTTAGAAATTCATTAGTTTCACTTGGGACGCTAGTCCAAAATTATTCGTTGTAAGAGATCTAAAAATGAATTCTCATTGAGATAAAATATTTCTAGCTTAGCTTGATCTAAACTATTTTTCTTTTCTAATTATTTAAATTTAATTCAATTTAATTCAAATGGTATCATCTTTTGCATCCTGGATTTTTGATATTTTGCAAATGGTATTTAATTCAATTTCAATATTAAATAATAATTTTACCTTCGCTGTAGATGAGGCTATACCGGAATTATTATAATACTTTTGCAATTCTCTGACGGTCATTCTTTTGTAATTGTTACTAATAGTGTGTATTTCCTTTCCAGTTTCAATGATCTGTAAAAAATAAAAAAAAAAAAAAAACAGAACTTCAACTAGTGAAATAATTTATAGTTTCTTCGAAGAAAAAAGATAATTACTCGCAGCAGTTCGATCTCAAAGTACACCATTTTTGCTATATCCGTGGCTAACTGGCGACGATTTAAAGTGTATCCTTTCTCTCTTGCGAAAGCTTGGACTATGCGAAAGATACCACTCTCATATTCGTCGTCTTCGTAGAATATTTTATTTAAATCCCTCTTATTCGACAAAGGATATTCGGTTTCCTGATCAATCTACAATAATCAATACATTTTCTTAACACGTGATATTGATCTTTATAAATTATGCTTCTCTGTAGCACTTCGCACGTTGTAAGTCACGAATTTTTAACGTTTAATGTTTTACAAAGGAAACGGTATAATTTTGAGTGAAGAAAGAGTAAAAAGAATAATAAATATAGATCTTTCCAGCTCAAGCAGTTATATTTGTAGCTTACTGTCAACACGTAGCGCTTCGTGTCATTCAAATCGATTTCATACTCGATGTTATAGAAAGCACTGTTCCCGATCAATGTCACATATTCCTTGTCAATTTTCTGCCAGGGTGTTCCATCAGGATCCCATTCGTCCAGTGGCATCGCCATTGGCCATCCTCCGGTACGATCAAGGATCTCCTGAATCGGCTTAACGCCCCTTCTCTCGATTGCATCTACGACATTTTTTCGAAAAAGCTTTGCATAATATTGTTCGTGACATTTTTCACAAAAGTGAAAACGACTGTTGCAACGTAGTTAACCACAGCGCTCATAATTATTCGAGTTCGTGCCTCGAGAAAGCAGACGTTTTTTTCGTTCTTTTCGAGGATAACAAAAAGTCTTCTGAAAATTCGTTAATCGTAAAAAAAAAGAAAAAAAAACGAAGCGAGAGGAGAACAGTAATTTATTCAAAGTTTATATATGTTAATAGAACTTTTCCACCAGTAATCGCATAAACTGTTCCTCTTTCACATTAATCATCCCTCAGTGAAATAATTTTATTCTCCACGTGTAATTTATTAACGACAAGGTAGATTTTGCGTTGTCTGTGCAAATACACTTCACTACGCATGAATACGTGAATTCCTTCGAATAATTATGCACGCGCCAAGGTCCACATATTCGAACGAACGTCGTTGCGATTTCCCTACCTACGTCCATGCAGGAACGGTAGAATTTCCTGGCCATTTTAACGGGCGGAATATCCGTGGGACTGTCGTGTTCTTCGAGGAGTTCTTTAAAAAGCAAAAATTCAAGAGCACGTGAACTTCAAAAAATTCGAAAGACAAACTAATCGAGAAAATGGTACTCCCTTGCCTTTGATTCGTCTGTTCGTTTTTTCTATGACAATTTGATCCTCGGACCATTCGACTTCGTTGTCCGGTATTGGATTCTGCCTGCTCCACGAGCCGCAAGCGTATTGATAAAAATTTTCGCAGGGGTCCGCGGTCGTATCACGGTTTTGCTGGATTTTCTTCGCTGAGAAATGCAAATATTTGATTATCGCATGAGAAATGAACGGAATTAAATCATTAGGCTGTGAAAAATGCCTATGATATGCAGGAAAATGTAAAATACTTATTTTAACATTAGCAGTCGAATGTTTAGTTTAGTTTAGTCTAGTTAACATGTAAAATACTTATTTTAACATTAGCAGTCGAATGTTTAGTTTAGTTTAGTCTAGTTAAGTTTAGTTTTTTAAAGCTAGAAAATATATAAGTTTCACATATTTTTCAAATTCTTTTGGCGTTTTAGGATGATTTACTCAAAACTTAGCTTGGCGTTGAACGTTCGAAAGAAGTAAAAAAATGTCGACCAATTTGAAAAGTGAAATAAATCATAAGTTAGATATCAATCCTTGATGTTTCCTGCATTCGAGGTACCACTCAGGCAAATTATAGAAACAAACAGTCAATCAAACGGCTATTTTATAACGAAAGAAGGAAATGACTATTAACCATAGAAATTGGTCAACTTCCTTTACCATATGAGTGTGCAGATATCGTTAATAACAGTGAATTAAAAAAAATCGTTTGAAAGAAAACGTGATGGTACGTGACTTTCAACTTTTTGAAAATCAATTTCCTACGATAATTTCCTCGTTCTCTCTTTTGTTCAGTATCTCTTTTATTCGATAACGTATCGACAGAACGCAGCCTCTTCTCTTATATAATAATGTGCAACTCATTTGCAAGAAAATTGCAACTTATATAAATGTTACGTCACGAGAGCACGAACAACGTACCGATCTCGTAGCAGTAAGCGCTCTCACAAACTCTGTACTCCCGATTTTCGTGGTGGTCGGCGTCAGTGTCGTTCATCATGTTCACGATCCTCCAGACACGCAGGAACGACGACGGCGAAAGCATTGGAGCCGCGGTAACGATTGTCAAGTGGCATCTGCAACCGGGGAAGAAAAAATTCGACTTGTAAATAATTTTTGCGACGAACGATTCGAAAGTGTGACAGAACAGTGACAGATTCGAGCAGAGTGCATACGATTTAATTGTTGTTGATTCTCTGTCATATGATCAAATTGTATTAGTCGTAACGATATCAAAAGACTATGAATTTTCATGCAATGTCAAAGTGAAGAATCGCACAGATTCTGTGAAAAAAGAAAAAAGAAATATATAAAACATTCAAAATAATTTTCTACCAAGCTTCTGTTTTTTTTCCAATTATATTTTTAAGAATGCGACTTCGAATTATTCCTCGGATTAAATTATTCAATGAAACTTGGTGTTAGTCAGCAATAATTACTTGTAATAAAAGTTCATCGCAGCTATTGTTTGACTGACGATAAATCGAAGACAATTTATTTAAATCGTATACACGACATTTCGGTGATAAATTAAGTGCTTCATTCGTTGCACGTTTAAGCCACTTACATGAGCCACGGGAGCTGCATGGTATCCGAGGAAGCGGAATCCTGGACTGACGTACCGTTTGTGGTAACGTGCTATCCAAAAGTCGCCGAAGGCAACCGTCTTCCTCCCGCAGACACGTCTCGTACGTCTCTTTTTGAGTCGGCTGAAGCCAATCGCCACGCAAGGCTAATTCATGAACCATGTTTCATGAAATGAGCCTGGTATCGCTAGACATGTGTACGTAAGGAATAATTGATTTCTTGATCGTCACGGTCTGACATCCGGATAACAAGTAGGCATGACTCAATCAAAATATAAATAGTAGGCAAATACTTTTTTTTTTATCACGGTTACTGTTATGGTATTGCCAGATGAATCATTTTGTTTTGTAGCAAAAGCGTTAGTTTGTAAATTATATAAAATTTCCAAGGGATATTACAATACAACTGAGTTGAAATGTGTTTTATTGGAAGAGTGATGCAATGGAATGTAAAATTATTAAATGAAAAATTGGAAATCTTATGTTAAATGTAATTTATTAGAAGCTTAATACTCACAAATATAAGTAAAAATGTTTTATAACATAAAGTCGTAACGTTACGTTGCATTATAATTAAGTTTACTTGTTAAAGTCCAGTTTACATCGTCAAATAAAAAGAGGAAAGAATAGAGCATAGACTATAGGTTACATAGTTCTCAGCTTCATATCGTTTTACAAACATTAATTTGGAAAACGATATCAATTATCAGGTCTCACCACGATCGAGATCCGTCCTGACTATAACCCCATCCACCCCCCCATTACATATAAATCTCGGCATTCAAGTTATTGCTAACAAGAATATCAAGTTCTGATTGTACTTGGCCTTGGATTAAGCAAAAAGAAGATGGACGTTCCGTAACTCAAGCTGAAACTTAAATCTAACGTTTAGCTGTTGATTACAGAACGTCTATCTTGACAATAAATTACGTGATCACACTGACAATAAGTTATGTTGCATCCATCTCTCATCCAATGGTCACACTAAATTTTACAATAATTCGTAGTCCTATCAGTACATTCTGTACCAAAAACACGTTTATCTAACTCTAAATGAAACAAAGGAGACAAAAGCTACTGACAAGCTTTATTGTCAACTCTGAATATCGTGTTTCGCAAAGGGGCGTATAATATGAAAAGAAAACCATGACTAACTGTTAGCTCATCAATCAAAGATTCAAGCACTTAGAGGCACATAATCTAACGCTACCTCCAACGGAACAGTGGGGTTCCAAGGAACCGCTAAATCGAATTACAAAGGACGCTAGACTACAAAAATCTCATCTTATCAGACTGGCTGCAATTCTCTGAATTAATATATTACAACGAATTAATTACAGTCTGTTAAATTAATAGTCATATAATAAATAATAATATAAACAACACAATGATATAATATCAATAGCAACAATAATAAAAACAGTAACAACGTACGAAAAGAAAGCGGAGAGGAGAGATTCCTAATTTCGACCCAAGTTAAATAAACGTGTCATTTTGTACAGAATGTGATCACAGTGTTAGCTTATAATTAGAATATTAAAAAATAATATTTAAAAATTTTAAAGTTTGGTCGATGTGCACGCGACAAAAGTTCAATTAGTAATGAGCTTCTGGCTTTGTACCGATCAAAATCAATTTGACATCAACAATTGATAATCAACACTTCAAAATACAATTTCCCTATTACAGTAATTAATAATTTTATAATTTTTCGATTTTTATTATTGCCCTCGTCAATTTAGAGTTAATAAATACTATACTTTCTATATTTTTTGCAAACTGAAACTACACTTGCACAGTTGGTTTTTAACTTGTAACTCTGTTGACATATATTAAATGCTAAGCCTGCGACATATAATTTATGTAAAAGAAATAATTGTATTATACTTAAACATTAAATTGGTCGTCTCTTAAGAATAATAGCTATGCAAATAAGAAAGCGTTCATGTTTAATTTAATAAATAATATTCGATGTGGACGTAACATTGTTTAATTTTAATTCCCGTTACTAGGAGCGCTGCGGTGCAAAATCTGCCTACATCGGTACGACAGGATGTGACATATAAATGGTAAAAGCCTGCGAAGTGTGTAACAGAAAAATGCATTAAATTTCGAGTTTATTTCGTACCACAACTCTATTTTGTACTCCTAGTTTGCGTCTGTATCTGTATTTCGTCTGTGGCTGCAGTTCAAATTTACCACTGAAAGGAAACGTGCGTTTCATCTGCCGATATATGTCGATCGATTATACGTCGCTGACAATACGTAGTTGGCGCGTGAGTCGCGCCAGCTGATTGGCGCTTGGGCTGCGACGAAGTGTCAAACTCGGCGAGCAGGTGGTGCTCGCGAACCACCGTATTTGTAATGGCGTGCGACGGCTAAGAAACGGGCAACAACGCGCACGAGTGCTCGAGTTTTCGTCTGTTGTAATAACGGGAAGTGCGTTGGTGCGTGCGTGGCGTGACACTGTCGCGAAAATGACAACGGCGTCGAGCATTCTGCCGTCGTATCAGCGGTTCGTGAACGGTGTACCGGTGCCTCTGTTCTCGAGACGGTCGTTCCGCCCGCGTGAAAAGTATCTGATCCTGTTGGTGTTTTTGACGTTCGGTGTCGTGTGTTTCTGTACGTTCTTCTTTCTGCCGGATTTCCGCGCGGGCACCAGCGGCGCCGCAGTGAACAGTGTTTACCGTGTGTACGAGCACATGCAGAAAGCGGGACCGGAGCTGCTAATACCGGCGCCACCTCGATTACAGGGGGGCCTCAAGGGGTTCATGGGTCATCCGAATGCCGTGCCATTTGGGCACGAGGGCATCGATAATCAGGACGTGCATCTTCTCGAAGACAAGCAGAAACTGCAGGTCCGCGCCTCTGTCCAAATCTCGACCCCTCTTTCGATTCTCTTTTCGATTCTCGATGTCGGTGCTCGACTCTCGATCTCCTAGCCTGTTCGAGACCGCGCTCTCCAGCCTCTTGTCTGTCACCTCGCTCTCCTCGGTTACAATCAAACTCTATTCCGTTTGATATTGACCTATCGGTCACTGTCGTCGCGTAACGTCGCCACGTTCTTGTCTTTTAACATCATTCCCCTGTGCTCTTGTTCTTTCAACTGTTACACTGATATTTAGCTTCCGCCTCGTTTGTTTACATGCTGCCATTGTGACGTACTGCAGGTACACGTGTACACGCATAACGGAGCAAAAGTTCACGCACTGCGTGATATTTCCGATATTTTCCTTCGATTCACGGTTACGCGTCTCTTTCTGACAAATATTCGACCGGTTTTCATCGCGAACGGCAACTGTCAATCGGCGTTTTCAATTTTGAACCGTATGTTTTCAGTCTTGTATCGTATATTCGTCGACACCATCATGGATCTCGCTCGACAATCGAATTGCCGAAATTTCGATAGTCGTTACGAGCAGTTCGTTGCAACGGACAATTAAAGATTCGCGTGTCGCGTTTATGCTTCTCTCTTTCGTCCCGGTTTCCGTTATATCTCGCCATACCATAATACGTGAAAGATACGTGAAAGAAGTGTGTTTTGTTTAAATCTCGTTGGCGTGGTCGGATAATGTATGTTTACACAGTGAAATATGAAAGTTTGAATCGAACGTTTTCCATTGCGCGCGGCTGCGTAGTATCACGAGTATCAAAAGGTAGGCGTAATAAAAACCTTGTAATTGCAAAACGACATCGATGCATACTTATTGACTGCGTGGTGTGTAATGAAGAAAGTGAAATTATATTGTTTCGAAAATTTCGTTGTAGGTTATATGTACGTTTCGAATGAGAAAGTCAAACTGTAACGTATATATGTGTCACGTGACACAATGGCGAGCGAATTACGCGTATTGCGAAACGTAACTCTGTGAAACGTATTGGCCGGGATTGAATTATCTAATTTTTCGTCGGGCCGGTGCCGCGATCGCGAGAACGAGTCCCATCAACGTTAATAGACTCTCGCCCTAAAATTTCAGAGCACAATTTCCGACGCATCGACGCGACCCTCGTTGAGACACTCGGCTTCTATCGTCGTGCATGTACAGGGTGACGCGTAACGAAATGATGGCGTTTCTTTTTCTTATTTCTGAATTCAGCTAACGTCGCATTGTAATGGAAAATTTCATTTGCACTACAAACATTACCATTTACAATTCTAGTTTTTAACGTTTCTATATTCCACAATTTCTTTTGTGTTCTGCATTGTAATAAATTGTTACTTGGTTTTTGATTAGGTCGAAATGTAGAGCAGCATATAGGCTGTTTATTGATTTCGTCGTACAGAGTCGTACTTAAATGGCAGATGTTAGGATACTTGATTAGTTTAAGACAGCGATGTACATATTTACTTAGGATATATATGATATCGAGTATAGACTGACATAAAAGCGATAAACTTTTTTTTTTTCGAATTTATCTAAGAGAATGTGAAAACATAAAGTACTTATTAATCATTGTACAGTATTATACAATAATACGGTTACAAATCTTAATACGGAGAAATAAAATTACATGAATTGTATACTATGCTGTATAACATAATTATATAATATTATATAATATATTACTCTAATATAATATTATATAATATTATATAATATATCATTATAATGTAATATTATATACTACAGTATTATATAAAGAACTTTCTTTTCAATTGGTTTAATTCATAGATGATTGCAGAAAAATTGAATTATACGGGTAATCTACAAGGTGATCTATAATAAAAATGAATAGATAAATAATAGAGAATAACTCGATGTCAGTTTAATTGTTGATAAAATAAACTCTTACGATTCTCACCTATATCTTTGATGTTTTTAAATCGTTTACAATATAGTCTAGCAATGTACGTTGGCGGAGTTATAAATCTCCGTGTGGCACGTGTAGAATAGCTATATTAACTCTTTCGCTACTGTTTGCTACGTTAGGAATTAAAAATTTCTAATTTTTTTTCCATTACGAGAAATTAATTTAGATCATTTCTAAGAGTATGGAATCTTTTTACACTAGCAGTAATTTTTTATGGAATAATAATATTGAGAACAATAGTAATAAAACTTGTGGATCAAACACAAAATTTTATTCAATATTTAATTGGAATTTTAAATAAAATGATTAAAAAAAAACGCGAATGTTGAGACTGAAAATATAAAATAATAGAATAGAAAATATAAGATATATTGAATACATATGATATATTGAATAACAGATATTGAAACTAAATTTTAGATTATAGAAATAAATAATTCTGTGGAACATTTAAGTTTTTGCAGTGGCGAAAGGGTTAAAAGGACGTTGGGCATTGACGCGAGATAAAACGGGATGTATATTTGTTTTTATTGACTAATTATCGATGACGAGCGTGAGATTGCAGCGTCGATTTACGAATCGATGGCGAATTTCGGCGCCTGTTTACGCGTTTACCCAAAACACCAATGCCCTTGTTACCGTGAAATAATAGAATTTATCGGGGATTCGCGTTCAATCGCGTCATGGACATACGTTGAACGAATGTTTAACGTTGTGAAACACGTTGCTATGTGTAAACTTTGTTTATGTCATTCTCGATAACCGTTGGCAGATTTTCGTTGTAAATTTCACTGCCGCGAACGAAATTTTACGGATAGAATCGTTCGTGAATATATTTCTTTTTTTTTCGACGCAAAAATTATTACACAAAGTTATTGCTGTATTTTTACACAAGGTTGTTATTACTGCAATTGCTACTACAATTTTTGCTACTACTACAAAGGTTGTTACTACTGCAATTGCTACTACAAAATTGTTATTACTACAATTATTGTAAAAATTTTCTTCATTTTGCAAATAGATTGGGACTTTGATGTAAAGGGACTTTGTTGAAACTACATTCTTTGCTGTATTCTTATCGGTATGATCATTGCAATCAATATCGTGCCTAATATTTAATATTCTTGTCTAATATTTAATATTAATGTCTAATTTTAATACGATGAGAAACATGTGAATACGGTCGTTTTACAAAATGCAAAACGATCTTAATATACGTGTTGTGTTTGTAGAGTGGCAGAGAAAGTAATATTATCGCGAGTTGGACTTATTAAAATTGAAGCGCGATTCTGATGACGATTTCATCGTGTAATTCTGGGGTAATTCTACTGCAATTTAGCAATTGTTCGCGAGTTTAGCGGGTTTACTAATCACACGTGTTGAATGTATCGTGTTCAAATTTATCCTCTTCGGTTATAGTGTTCTCTAACGTTGAAACCATTAGAGCAATAAATTCAGACATTCACGTATTTGTTTCGAAATTTTTTAATTTCAATAGTGTGCCTTTTACTGAAGGTTACAAATATAAAGTTTTATTAATATATATCGACAACGAAATATAATTTGCATAATGTATGTCTCTTATGTGTGCAATAAAAAGAATTTGTAAATTGGTCTGCAAAATATTGAAAAGAAATTTTCAATCCTTTACCAATAGAAATTAATATTAGATAAGAAATTAATATTATATTATATTAGATAATAAAGAGAAAACTTTAAAGTATTTATTACTTGCTTCAGAAATGAAAGATTTCTTTCAACTTTCTGAAAATTTAATTATCTTCTTTGAAATTATCAGCTGAAACATTGCTTTTAATGCGCTTGTTTCCTATGTTTTCCATATTTATCAGATAAGTTTATCTGTATTTCAAGGATTTCACTCGTTTGTCGTCTTTTCATACAAAAGATAACGAACATAATGGCACATTTGACGTTTCAGTGCAATTACTCGTAGTTAGATATCGTACTATGTTAAAAGAATTTATTCTAGTTTATGAGAATTATATCGGGACAGTTTTCTTTAAATCAAACGTTATCACGCGAATAAATCGTTTTGTTTGATACTCGACGAAAGCTATTGCATCTATCAAGATTTTATCGAGCAAGATGTCGGAATTTGATAAAATAATTATCGCACGTTATCAAACCGTACATTTCAGCTTTCACTTAAAACGCGGTAAAATGATGTTTTTATTAAGGAACTAGCATCTGTGAAAGTTATAAATAAACTTGATATCGATTGTTATTTAAAATAGAAGGCAACGATATTGATTCGTAAAGTTGCAATACATAATTTATTTCACGAATATTGAAAAAAATTTCACGGAACAGTAGATGACTCGCAATTATAGCAGTCAATGCATTTTATTTAAAGTTAAATTACCCGTATTTTCAATGGAAGTGTGCAATTGACGTAAATTACTGAATAATTACGTATCATATATGTGTATTTATTCGAGAGAGAAAAGTGATACGTAGTAGAGAAAGAGTGTCGTATTTTTTGCATACGATATCGAAACGATTATAAACGGTACAGTATCTTAAGAAACATTATCTTCGTTCGTGATTATTTTGTGATTTTATTACAAATAATATTACAGATACAACTCCAAGATGATTAGATTTCAAATCAATCCCAATTCTAAATCTTTCCATTACTTTTGCCTCCACCGCGATTCTCGAGTTTTTATGAATATCGTAAAGTTTGCAGATACATAAAATATCTTTTCATTTCTACAGTAGTTCAAAAATTTCGTTAGTAAAAAAATTCGTATAATTACGATATGATAGAAATTAATCCAAAGAACACAGATTAGAAAGGCTATAGATCAACATCGATTAACATCGCAAGACAAGTAATTTATAAACCGCTTCAATTCTTCAGAACAATTTGTATTGTTTCTCCAAAACGAAACTAAGTTTCCATCGGGGTTTTACTATCAGAAACCGAATGAAACTCGAATCTTACGTGGAACAGGCCAATACAGTTAGCGTTGGAAACGTTTTCACCGGTTACCTGAGGGAGACGAAGCAAAGCGAGGCGTTTATATCTCGCGACGTTTCACCTTTCGTTCTCTCATAATGACGGCTAGGCGGTCGAGAGTGTCGAGAGCTGACGTTCTCCGAGCGAAGCCAGGCGAAATAAGCGTGTTTCGAGCGGAGATTGCATTCGGAAGGCGGTGTTCGAATAAATACGCGGTCCGAGGTCTCTCGAGTGGTCTGGCAGAATTTGATTTTCATTCTGAGCTCTACTGCTCCGTCGTGCTAAGGCGGGAATTTTGTACAAAGCCGCGGCGCGAATCTCGTCCACCGAAGCTAGGAAAATGGGTATCTGACCGAGTATTATACACACGTTGATGACTGTACATACACACTGTACATATTTGTAAACGCTTGAGAAAATAAATGGAATCGTTTTGTTGAATAAATGGATGTCGTTTCATGACTCGTCACACACGTTACTGACCTCTCTCCAGCTCAAGCTTCCTGTACCTCGAACGACCAATTTCGACCATTTCGTTTCGTGAAACATTCACTTGCCTTTTTTAAACGACAATTTCATCGTTTCGTTAGTTTTCGGTCTCTTTATATGCTCGATCAGATATCCAACTTCTTCTTATATTTTTCTACAGACAACCGCGATTAAGCGTTAAAGATTAACTTTGGTTTTTCATTTCGTCGAAATTAATTCACGCTGCCTCGAATTTGCGTTATTGTTTAGTTTCTTTATACGTTTTATGAAATATTTATTCCTTTCGTATTTCAAGTTAGTTTCAAGTAAGTTTTTTAGAAAGGCAGATAGTTATCAATATATTCTGTCGTGCAATTGTTTTCTGAGTTATATATTCTCTTCGAAATTCATTACGAATACCTTGGCAAAATGAACGATTGTGAATGAGTTGCAATGATTTTACAATCCTTCGTATCGTTGTAACAGAAATATCGTTGCCGCGAAATTTAACTAAAAGTCATTTCACTCTTTAAACACGCTATGTGAACAACAAGTGATTCTAGAAATAGCAATTGAATTATCTAATGCAATGACTCGAAATTCATTCTTTTCACACGTATCTCATTATTCTTCTCTTACGCTCTATTTCCTGCTTCGCATTCGCTCCGCTCTGTTGCTCGAGTTTCAAGTTTAAAAAATTCATAGATCCAGTTTCTTGCTCGAATCGAATCTCGCGTGGCAAAGAAAAAAACTCGTTCAGTTAGTTAATTCTGGAGGGGGGGGGGGGGGACTATCTTAGCGATTTTCTCGAGTTTTTTTCTCGCTAAAATTGATCGACGAAGAGAACCGCCGCTTTCCGAAAAAAAATCTTGAAAAACCGCCGCTTTCCGAAAAAAAATCTCGAAAAACCGCCGCGATTCGATTTCGAAAAAACGTGGATTTTCAGGCGAAGATCAACGAGGAATATCAGCAGCAAAAGACGCTGGAAAAGCCGGAAGTGAAAGATGATTCGCGTGTGCGTGCGAGTAGTTCGTCGTCGTTAGTGCTCTACCGGAAGGACGACATTCTGGAGACGGTGCCCCCTGCGCCAGCGAATAAACTCCCTTTGACGGTCGGTGGAGAGGACAAGGACCCCGTCGCCAGGGAACGAAGGGACAAGGTGAAAGAGGTGAGTACTGTTCTTTCATTCGGTGAGACAGTGAAATTGAAATTTTTCGCAAATTCTTGGACAGTTTTGCTTTCGCTTTTTGACGGGGGTCGCTGTACAACACGATTGTAAAATAAATGTAAATTAAGGGGGCAGGACAGTGTGACAGACTGACATGAGCTTTTGTGGTTTATTTCAACACATTGTGACCTATAAAACGCAACATTAAGAAAAGAAAAAAAGAAGGCTCTTTTAACGGCATCCTCTTACATAACTTTTTTTTACATTACCTGTCGGTGTGCATGATTCCAGCCAAACAGGATTAGCTGCAACAAAAAGGCAAAAAAATTTCAAAAATAAACAGTATTCTCAGGGATTGACGATCCAACATTTTCATTTCTGTGAAAATTATGAAAATAGCAGCAATTTGTTTCTGATGTATCGAATTTATGCCAAAAATATCTACGTTTTTTGTTTATATTTTTTCGAAATTGTTAAAAATTAAAAAATGTTCGAACGTCAATCCCTAGTAAGTGTTACACTAAAGATACGTACCAAGTTTCACAGTAATCGGTTGGATTCCGAGATATCTTGCACACCGTTTCTAAAAATCTAGTTTCGAGAAAAACGCGTTTAAAGTTTTAGAACGTCATTTTTCATATGTATCCTTTACTTACTCTTTTTACTTATATGTCGCGGCTCACAGTTCTTACAATTCACAACTAAATTGAATCCAAGTCCCCTATTATTCGATTCGTCAAAAGTAATATTTGAATCACACGATTTACACTTTGTAATACTGCTTAAAGTTGTAAGCAGTGATAGAAATTCAATTATTCTGTATCCACGGATTTATTATTATACCCCAAAATAAGTCGTTTTAAAGGCTAGGACCTTTTCTATCTTATTTCTAAGATTTCAAACTACTATTTAAAACAAAAACAAAAGAAAAGAATCGATTTTAAAAAATTTTTTTCACGCTGTCCTGACCCCTTAATGAAAATATAACACAGCAGTCCCCACTTGAGCGTCCACCAAAGTCGGGACCCAATTCCAAGAATTGGTGGGGACTACTGCATTAATAATATTTTCCCCTGCAACTGCCACGTACTGAATAACACGTGGAATAATTTAATAAGCTAGAGTTGAGCTCGATAAAAGAGAGATCTGATAAATATATTTGCTCCCGGGCACGTAGAGAAGGGAACGCCTGTGTGAACTCTCAAATCTGACCCAACTATCGCCGTGCGTGCCAGTACAAAATTATCCGCTGTCCGGTGGTTAATTGGGGAAAGTTATTATTAGATGGCGCGTATTCGCGATGCATTTCGTATCATGCGCGAAGAAGAAGAAGATATCTCTCAAGGGTATCAACAACGTAATAAAACAAGGGCAAACGGAATAAAACTTTCCAGCGTGTGTGTTCCACCGTGATTACGAGAAAAATTCTCTGGATCCCCTTTGAGTCTTGTTCGTTAATCGACCGGACTCGAACGACTTCTGCCCGCAATTTTCTAACTAAATTTCAACAGTTCTCTCGGTTCTGTAGCGGTGGTTCTCTTCTCCGGCGTTGTTGGTTACATTTGCGTATAAATGAGACTACACTGTGCCACATTCGTGGATATTCCTATTAATGGCATTTCTCCTGTTGTCGGGCAAACAGACGGAGCTCGCAGGTGAATCACCGCCAGGAACCGAACGACCTGCTCTTCTCTGCCACAAACACACAGTCGTTTCGAAAGTGTTTCGACACTTACTGCGGGAAACTTTAACGTGCACGTTGTGCCTGTTGCGTGAAACGCTTTTGAAATTCCGCTAGCGTTCCAACCGGAGTGTATCATGGCTCCATCGGATTCCGAGATCTATCTTTCGCATACCACCAAGCAATTGAATATATTGAATATCTTGAATAGAATACTATTTGATAATTCTTTTAATAGTAATCTAGTGTCCTTAGAATTCTATTAGATGATCCTCTTGATAGTAGTTAGGATACTGGAGTATTACTAGATAATTCTTTTAACAGTATTCTAGTATTTTTAGAATCCTTAGAATTCTATTAGACAATTCTTTTAATAATACTTTAATATAGGGATACTATAGATACTTAGGATATTAGAGTACTATTAGATAATAGGGATACTTAGGATACTAGAGTACTATTAGATAATTCTTTTTAATAATTCTTCTCTTAGAATACTAGAGTACTATTGGTTAATTTTTTTATCGAATATCTTAAATAGAATAGTATTCTAATAATTCTTTTATTGAATAATATCTTAAATAGGATACTGTCAGATAATTATTTTAATGGTATTCTAGTATTCTTAGAATTCTTAGAATTATATTAAAATTATATTAGACAATTCTTTTAATAATACTTTAATATAGGGATACTAGAGATACTTAGGATACTAGAATACTATTAGATGATTCTTTTTAATAATTCTTTTAATAGTATTCTACTATTCTTAGAACACTAGAGTACTATTAGTTAATTTTTTCAACGAGTATCTTAAATAGAATATTATTCTAATAATTCTTTTATCGAATAATATCTTAAATAGGATACTGTCAGATAATTATTTTAATGGTATTCTAGTATTCTTAGAATTCTTAGAATTATATTAAAATTATATTAGACAATTCTTTTAATAATACTTTAATATAGGGATACTAAAGATACTTAGGATACTAGAATACTATTAGACAATTCTTTTTAATAATTCTTTTAATAGTATTCTACTATTCTTAGAACACTAGAGTACTATTAGTTAATTTTTTCATCGAGTATCTTAAATAGAATACTATTCTGATAATTCTTTTATAGAATATATTTTAAATAGGATACTGTTAAATAATTATTTTAATGGTATTCTAGTATTCTTAGAAGTCTTAGAATTCTATTAATTAAATTAGATGATTCTTTAATTCTTCAATAGATAATTCTTTAATAGCACTTTAATATTCTTAGGATACTAATATTCTTAGAATGCTGTTAGATAATTCTTCTTAACAGTACTATTAGACAATTCTTTCCTCGAATATCTTCAAATTACATACTGATACATAACGAAACACTTTGGTATACAATAAGAATTGAAATACTCGATATTCGCTCGATGTTTCAAATATTTTGTTTCAATTTCATCTGCGATGAGTCTAGTCTCGCAGCGAATGTGTTGAACGTACAGGCGTTGAAATACTTTCGTGAGCTTTCAGTGTCGTTCGGGAAACGGGCAAATAAAATTAGCACCCGGCGCTCGGTGTGTATCGAGGCGTTAAGCGGCTCGCAAATACGTTGGAAAATAGACTTTCGATGTTTTCCGTGCGACATAAATTTCGAAGGAAACAGAGGGGCACAGAGAGCCGCGGACAATATAACTCGTTTGGCGTTGTAATTTGCATGAATTCGCCCGGTTGTGTTTTTGTTTTCGCGGGGAATTGTATGATGGAATCGGGATTGATCCATCAGACGGTGCGCGGCACTCACCGCATAATTCTCCGGGCACACATTGAAACGAGCGTTTCATCCATCCACTGAAGTTATTTCCTTTCCTTCTCTCCTCTCTGACTGAGTTCAGTGAGTATTGCCAGCGAATTCAATTGTTTTTCTATTAGGTTGTCCACCCGGTGAAAAATATATCTCGTTTCCGATGTTTGTTTTTCCGAAACGAAACGAATGGTGCTAACAGTCGAAAGATACGTATTAACACGTGTACACGTGGTTAACGTGGAAAGATACTTCGAATAATATCAACGGTGAAATTGAAAGTAAAATATTTTATCTTATCTGGAAATAGTACTAATACAGACTGTACTTTGACTGACCAATTACGAAATTCTCCGTTATTTTTAAAACATTTTCCAGCGAGGTCATTTCTTAGCGACTCTCCAACTGTTTGTCAGAATTTTCGTAGATAATTAATCAGTTTTTACTTCGTTGTTAGATATACATCGATGAAAGTAGAAATTTACTAACGGTTAACGTGTTTTATTTATGATATAGGTATAATTAGATATATAAATTATTATATATATAGAGATATACATAGATGAAAATTCATAGAAGAAATTTACGAAACATAGTTAATAATTAAGTGTTTCATTTAAATTACTATATTTAATGTGTTTTATTATATATATATATTTTCTGAATTATTATATAGATATAGATATACCTAGCTATATAAATTATTATATATGTAGATATATGTAGATAGATGTACATAGATGAAAATAGAAACATAGTTAATAATTAAGTGTTTCATTTTAAATTATTATATTTAATGTGTTTTATTATATATATATTTTCTAAATTCTTATATAGATATAAGTATACCCAGATATAAATTATTATATATACAGATATATGTACATAGATTAAAATAAACATCTACGAAACATAGTTAATAATTAATAATTAACAGCGTTTCGTTTTAAATTATTATATTTAACGTGTTTTATTGTATATATTTTCTAAATTATTATATAGATATAAATATACCCAGATATATTAATTATTATATATATAGATATACGTAGATGAAAATAGAAATCTACGAAACATAGTTATAATTAACATTGTTTCATTTTATCTGTAATATCATTCCTTCCGACACGATAGTCATTCGGGTACGTATTTCCAGTCGACGAGAAACCAGCGATTTTTCGATCGACGCGTTTTCGATTCCATGAAACGACGCGACCGCTTTTAAATTGCCATCCTATCGGACGCGAATTCTTTTTATAATGTACGACATTCCTTTGATCCAAAGCTCGAATCCGCTTTGACCAGCAAATTTTTCACCAGCGATTTTCGTCCACGCGGTGCATCAACACCGGCCGCGATCGCGTATTCATCGAATTTCCGGGAGGACGCTCATTTTCATGCTTTATGAACGGGCCCGCCGGTGCTATTATCTATTTATCGGTCTGCTAAACGCTTCGTTCTATTAAACCTGGATCGTGCCGCGCCGTGTCGATTTTTAATATTGCCGGTATCGCCAAAAATCGTCGCC